TCCAGGCCCCCCACCCCTTCTATAATACATGCATCCCCCCGGCCCTCTTTGTGTACAAACAAATTCAATTGTTGTTGAAAGTTCCTTCACAAACTAAATAAAAATTTTCAGGGTTTGATGTTGTAAAAACCATATTATTACATCTGTTTCAGGGTTTGATGTTGTAAAAACCACGTCTGTTTCAGGGCTGATGTTGTACAGAGCGTCCCACATCATATTAGATTATCTCCAATCTTTAACGCCAAAATACGCACATAATACTCAAAAAAATCTAGCATTTTCTGCCAAAAAAAAATTTCCATTAGCCTTAATAAAATTTTTAAAAATGAGTTATTCTTCTTAAATTTTCTGCTTTTACCCCTAAATCGTAATTTAGACCGATTGACGCGATCAAATTTGATGTGGGACACCCTGTACTTGGTAACTATTTTAAATCTGTTTCAGGGTTTGATGTTGTAAAAACCATATTCTAACATCTGTTTCAGGATTTGATGTTATAAAAACCATATTCTTACGTCTGTTTCAGGGTTTGATGTTGTAGCAACTATATTGTTACGTCTGTTTCAGGGTTTGATGTTGTAAAAACCATATTCTTACATCTGTTTCAGGGTTTGATGTCGGAGCAACCATATTATTACATCTGTTTCAGGGTTTGATGTCGGAGCAACCATATTCTTACATCTGTTTCAGGGTTTGATGTCGGAGCAACAATATTCTTACATCTGTTTCAGGGTTTGATGTCAGAGCAACCATATTCTTACATCTGTTTCAGGGTTTGATGTTGGAGCAACCATATTCTTACATCTGTTTGCAATAGTATTTGGTCTATCTGTTAGCAGGTAGCTTCACAATCACCAATATATTCAATATATAAATATTTTATGAAAAAAAAAAACAATATTCGGATTTGGTCATGAACTCAAAAAGCTTCCAAGTTTAAAAAAAAAATTTGACGTAATTAATATGTATGCTCGATTCACTACGGTACCCTTTAAACCTTCATCTGAGAAAGTATTGTCAATTTCATAATTAGAAAACTTTTACATTTTTGTGTCTCCGAAAATCACTTTAATATCAACTTTTTTATAGAAAACATTTATATCTTCATCAGTTTTTACTTACCTTTAGGTTATAGCTTTTAAACTTTTTAATTATACGACATCAATAGTTCCTAGTAAAATATAAGTACATCTTTTTAGAATCGAATCTAATCTATCTAGCTAGGAATGCTTTATTTAGAAGATGTAGATGAAAGTAAACTAAGTACATCGTTTTAGAATCTAATCTACCTATCTAGGAATGCTATTTATCAAAGATGTAGATGAAACTAAACTGNATAGAATTTAAGCTATCTATCTAGGATGCTATTTATAAAAGATGTAGATGAAAGTAAACTGAGTACATCTATTTAGAATCTTATCTATCTAGGATGCTATATATAGAAGATGTAGATGAAAGTAAATTAAGTACATCTATATAGAATATTATCTATCTAGGATGCTATATATAGAAGATGTTGATGAAAGTAAACTAAGTACATCTACAGAATCTAATCTATTCTCTTTGCTTGGAACTCTAATTCTGTGGATATATTGGCCATCCTTTATGGCCAGTGGAGCTATTCCAGGTATAGATAGATGCAATGCACAAAATGACAAAAACACCAAAAGTCAATGCAAAAAATCATATAACATCTAATGTTAAAACACCTTAAAAAAATGCCAAAATTCCTACCAAAAGAATATCAAAACATGCATGAAAAATGCCAAAAAAAAATTCTTGTAACTCTTAATGTCAAAACACCAAAAATTGAATAAAAAAAAATTTCAAAAAGCTCGGCTACAAATCCTCTAATGTTTAAACAAATAATGTGTTAACACCTATAACATCAAAATAGTGTCTATCAAAACAAGAAAACGACTGCTAAACCACATTATGTCAAATCAACTAATTTAAATAAATTTTTGTTTTTAACGAAATAATATGTAAATAAAATTTGCTTCAATGACAAAACAAAAAAATCTTTTAAATTATATCTCAAAAATTCTATATATTTAATGTCCACCACAAGAAAGATCAGTATTTCTATATATTTAATGTTAAGGTCCACCACAAGAAAGATCAATATTTCTATATATTTAATGTTTACGTCCACCACAAGAAAAATCAATATTTCTATTTATTTAATGTTTAGGTCCACCACAAGAAAAATCAATATTTCTATATATTTAATGTTAATGTCCACCACAAGAAAGATCAATATTTCTATATATTTCATATTCAGGTCCACCACAAGAAAAATCAATATTTCTATTTATTTAATGTTTAGGTCCACCACAAGAAAAATCAATATTTCTATATATTTAATGTTAATGTCCACCACAAGAAAGATCAATATTTCTATATATTTCATATTCAGGTCCACCACAAGAAAAATCAATATTTCTATTTATTTAATGTTTAGGTCCACCACAAGAAAAATCAATATTTCTATATATTTAATGTTTACGTCCACCACAAGAAAAATCAATATTTCTATTTATTTAATGTTTAGGTCCACCACAAGAAAAATCAATATTTCAATGTATTTAATGTTTAGGTCCACCACAAGAAAAATCAATTTTTCTATATATTTCATGTTTAGGTCCACCACAAGAAAGATCAATGTCTAACACCTACCTTGCATTAACTGGATCGGTAATGGGTAAGAGTAAGATTTTTTCATTTCAATATTTTATCATGAAATTAAAGTTTAAAGATCATACAAAATTAGGTTCATATTCTAACTAGTGTTTGTTAAATTGTTGACTATTGATGTTACACTTAAAGTTTTTTTTTAAGGTGCACTCTGTATGTCTTCCCTGACACACGAAAATGGAAAAATTCGAATAGGTAAAATTTGATAAATTGATTGATTAGATTTAATTGATTTTAAAAAATTTAATAGATTTAATAATTATAGTTACTAGCTAAGATTACTAAAAGTTACTACCGCTGTTTACCTGCACTTGAAAGAATTTACCGAGAAAACAAAATTTGAGGCAAATCGGTCCAGGGGTTCCTGAGTTATGATCAGACAAACAAACAAACAAAAAGACAAACAGAGATTACAACTTTATAATATATAAATACAGTTATAATCTGAATTTTTATAAAGTATTAACTTGGGAATTTTGGGAATGAGAAATCTAGATATGGTGAAGCAGTGAAATTGTAATATTATGATTTGAATCTTATTATCCCTTTATCTATATATAAATTTGGCTTGTCTGTCTGTCTGTTTGGGTGTCTGTTTGTCTGTTTGTTTGTTTGTATCCAATAAACGTCAAAACGGCTGAACCCATCGGGCCCAAATTTTTTGTGGGACATCTAGGGACCCCAGGGAAGGTTTATGAAAAATCAAAATTTCAAATATTTGTCTCCATCAAAATTCGATTGTCATTAAATTTCTAAAAATTTTGAAAATCCGCGAAATTTTTTTGTGAAAATCCGTGAATTAGTTTTGTTTTGTTTTACGATGTACACAAAGAGAACATGTTTACAACTAATTTAGAAGATGGGCGCGAAGCGCCCTCTATGGCTAGTAATATATATAATAATATATAAAAAAGAGTTTTTAGCTGAGTGTTCAGTTCTATTGTTTGACAGGTTTTTTTTTTTGTCTGTTCAAGGTTTAAATTCTAATTACTTTAATCCGAAGAAAGAAAAGGATCACATTTCTTTATTTAATGAAAAAACAAAAAGAAAAAACTTATTTTTCTCCAAATGAAAACACAAGGTAGTTGAATAAGAAGTTACTGCTCACAGTGGACTTGTGTCAATTTGAATTCGAACCAAACCAACCCTGGCCTTGTATCGGCCAAATGACGCGCGGCAAGTTCTGGCCCAAGCCTATCCTATGCCAGCTGGGTTTCAACTTTGATGGCAAGGCCAGACTTTGACCTATCCCACTAACTTAATTTAGTGTGTGTTGTTTCTGGGAGAAACATAAACAAACTCAGTCTTGCTCATTTGAAGTTTTCTTTACTTTTTCTCACAGAAACTGTTGTTCAATTTATTTGGTTTTGAATAGGCCTTATGGAACCTTTCCTTAAGAATGATAAACCATTGGAAACTTTGAGAATTAACCCGACTTTTTAATAAATCTACCACTAGATAACACAATAGTTATCATTTACATGTTAAAAAAAAGTTTATGGGACAAGTATTTCATTTAAAATTGATCCAAAATAGTCGTCCCTTAAACTTTTTACAGCATTCACACATAGCTCTGTGAACCATCTAGGAGGTAGATTTATTCTTAATACGGTTAAGGAAAGTTCCACCATTAATTTCCTAAGGTTTTAATGGTTTATCATTCTTGAGTACTTCTGATAGGGTTCTGTAAGGCCTTTGAGGAACCAAATTTATCCGGAAGCAGTTGGAAACCATAGTTTATGGTTGAGTATTTGATGTTGGTCACAAACACAATAATATAAATAATATTATTTCAACATTTAAACGAAACTATATGTGGGTCTGGATTGATTGGTTGACACTCTTCAGATTTATTTCTGAAGAGTCAATTCATTAAATAAAAGAATAATATATAATTTTAAGAAAACTAAAAATAATTTCAAGATTTTTACATAATCAAGTTTGTATTCTATTTTAAAATGTGCGAACATAATCTACGAGTTTTTTTTCCCTCAATTTTACCTCCAAACATGTAAGATATTTGTTATCCCATGAAATGAAATTGATTTCTTGTGTTATTGAATATGTGTAAGATAAATAATAATTTGTGCAAAATGAATTTTTTAACCTGATTTTTGCCTTGGAGCATATAAGAAACTGCATAATGTCCCACGAACTATGGAATTATAAAATTTGAATCATAGTTTATTAAATCAGTTGTCATTTGATTTCTCTTATTTATTGCATAATAATTCTATTTTATGCTAAGACTGTAAATAGGCATATTTTATTGTGACCCCCTAATGAATGCTGGATTTTACCACACTACCTTTAATACCTTTCTCTGATCAGCAAGAATAATAATATTGTGGTTTTCATTTTAAAACAATTTTAACTCGGCTAATTTAATTCTTTCTCTCTGAACCTGAAAGAATTTTTAAAGATAACCCGACAATTCTAAAAAGATCACTGATCAATTGATAATTTAGAGCATGTACAGAATGCAGTTCTAGCTGGTGGAGTGGCAGTAGGTAAAAGATCATTTTAAAAATCTAATTCAGTTTTTTAATTTTATCACATATATTTTCCTACTTCTTGCCAAACAAAAAAGATAATTTATTTGTTATTGTTTGAAGCTTTAAAAACTGGACTCATGTAAATAGTTTGCAAATAGACAGGGTGTAGCCGATGTCATGCATCAGCTCATCCCCCATAAATTCAACACTAAAGTAGACATCAAAAGCAATATTATGACACTTTCCAACTTTTAATAATGTATTTAGAGAAAACAACTTTTATTGCACCNTATATTTTAGAAACAAATACATAATTGCAGATGTAGTTTGATAATTTTTAATGTTTTAACATTAAAGAATGGTTTAAACTGTAGTGGGATATTAAAAAACTAATCTTTTAACCTTTAACTACTGCAGGTGCAACGGCAGATCTAATAGTTTGGCCTTTTCTGAGGTAAATTAATTTAACAATGATATTTTTCCAGAACCTAAAATCTATTTAGTTAATTTTGTCCAATCTTCGGGAACTGATTCATCTCATCCAAAGAATCTAAAATGCTTCTAAATGTCCTGCTTTTAAATATGTCTATTCAAAAATATCCAAATTTTTGTATTATTTAAACAATGTTGAACACTTCTTGCCTACTGTTGCACTTAAATCTCTTTATTATATCCCTTTTTTGTAGGGTTTACCAATTATTAGCTGTGCTAGCCAACAAATTTAAACATCTTTTGACTCAAACTTGTCAGAACTTTCAATGTACTCGTCTTTCCAGTTCTGCATGCTCAAATGTTTCAATTTTATTTAATTTAGATTTTATTTTTTTAAAGGAATTGTGTCTCTGCCGCACAAACTCCGATTTTTAAATCCCTTTATATGCTATCCAAACTTGCACAATTTTAAAATTATAATTGCTAGATCAAATAATCTTAGTTGCAAAGATAAAGACATTAAAAAATTTGAGATTGTGGCAAAGACTCAACTCCTTTGTTTTAACTAAAAATGACAGTCTTACAATGGTTTAAGTTTTTTAATAGCCTGTGATTCAAGGCTGTGTCGGCTTTAAGTTATCTAGGTTAAGTTTAGTGATGTAAAATTCGCAGTGTTCTAAGTTTCAAATATGAAATGCTCTTTTCAGACTTGACAAAGTTATTTGTTTTAACCATGAGCATTTAGTATACTGATTGGGTTGGTGGCTGGAATACTCTCAACTTGTGGATTTGTTTTCACTCCAACATTTATTCATAAAAAACTTAAGGTGAAATTTAACAAAAAAAACTTAAGGTGAAATTTAACAAAAATTGGCATTCAAACTTTTGTTAACATTTTCCATGATTTTTAAATTGTAATTGTTTTCATGGAAAATCAGTCAAATATATTTTTACTCTTCTTGGTGATAATTCCTTAAATGTAAAATTTTATAGATTGAGAGTTTAGTAATAATGTAACCTTTGACCAATTCATTGGAGAAGGAAGTTTTCTGGATAAGTTTTTAGATATCATGGGCACTTTATAGTTACATTAGTCCTTTACATTTAAATTTGTAGGTACAGAGAGAATAGTAAGACAACTTTTATTCTTAAGCTATGCCTTTAAATAGTCCAATGCACATGCAAAACCACTAAACTTTATAATTGATTTGATAAGTTACTTGTAAATACACTTTCCTTCAAGGTCTTCTTTCTATATTTTACAGTTTTCTGGTTCTTACTGTATGATGAATAGTTTTTAAAATTTTCTTTATTCATTTGTTAAAGATACATGATTCTTGCGCAGCATTCAGTCTTCATGCTATACCTGCCCTTCTTGGGTCCCTTGTATCCATCATCATTCCTTNTCTAGGTAAACTTTGCCATACTCTTTCCTTGCTTTCTTAATCAGCAAAATCTAGGTAAACTTTGCCATCATCATTCTTTGCTTTCTTTTTCAGCAAAATGTAGGTAAACTTTGCAATCATCATTCTTGCTTTCTAAATCAGCAAAATCTAGGTAAATATTGCCATCAGGATTTCTTGGTTTCTTAATCAGCAAAATCTAGGTCAACTTTTCAATCTTTACAGGGATATTTCAAATAGTCCATGGCAGGCAAAAATTGCAGAAGATTTTGAAAAAGCCTTGACAGAAAGTATTGGTAATACTAAACCATGGGGTAAACTTTGGCTTTGTTGTGTTCAAAATTCCTTAGATGGTTATAAGTATAGATATACTCACTTTGTTGCAGGAGGAAATTATCCTGAACTTCTTCCGGCTGTTGCTCAGGGTAGAAGTAGGGCTGGTCAATCCATTGCTCAGGTTTAGTAAACTCTAGTCTAGTGAATATAAAACAAATCTGAAAATTAAGATAACCCAGAGGTCCCTAGAAATTTTAGATACACTGCCATCATAATTTGAATGTTATAATTTTTTAATTTTAGGTTTTTTTTAACTTTTACTTTGTAATTTTGATGACAACTTTTAGACAGAAAGGTGTCTGCTCTCAATTTATCAGGGATTAGACACCTAGTTGCCAAAGAATTGTCATGAAATCTATTATTTTAAAGGTAACCTAAAAATGTAAAATTTTAACATTTAAATTATAAAACGAGCATACCTAAAATTTCTAGGCACCTCTGGGTTATCTGTAATTTTCAGATTTATTCTTTTCTTGCTTAATATGATCTGTTCAAAGCTTTAATATTAATACCATATCCCACTGAGTTTTAGTTTTCTATTAACTTATTATTATAATGAATAAATATATCAAATATGTACAATGTACATTATAATGCATTCTATGCTTAGGTGGCTGCTGTACTCACTACTATAGCAACAGCTACAGGTCAAGAATGATTTTTTTTTCATAAATTATAATTATTTTGAAAGAGTTATTCATCTTCAAGATAACTAAAGTTTTAAAAACGAATACAATTTACTGTGAAAGTAGGGCCTGCTTTGCTCAACATGAGATTATGGTTTGGGAGGGGGAAGGGGGGCAAATGTTGGTCACCTGTAAATGTTTAATTTTTCCAGTTACATAAATTTTAATTCTGAAGGTATAATAAAGAGAAAAAAAACATGCTTAAGGCTTTTCAAGTACACAAGACTCAACCATAGAGAACTCATGTCAGTGGAATGATTTTGAAAATAAACTAAAAGAAATATTTTGAATTTCAGAAACTTCTTTCTCTGATTACATTTTGTTAGTTTCAGCTTCTTCATTACTTTCAGCCAAAAATTGACAGGAAAAACATGTTTTCTATCTTTTCATATTTCTTAATTTTATCATCAAAGAGGTATTGGACCTTCAAACAACTTCTTTAAAATAAATATAAAAATACAACAGACACAATCTGTAAATGATACAATCTATATAATATTAAAACAAGACATTTGTATATATATGTTGCCTTTAGCCGGCCAAAGGGCTGGACTGATTGAGCTGAATTTTTCTGTGGACACTGTGGCCAGGAGGTGTCATAGGCTAAACACTTTTTTAAAAAATTTCAACGGGCAATTCCGGCCCTTCAGCTAGTTATCAATGAAATAAGATAAAATAAAAATAATTTCTGTCAATCTGTTTTTAAGAATTGTGGGTTATTAGTGCATTTTGTTCAATAAATGATTTTTTTGATCAAAGGAATAAAACAATCATATCTAAGAAACTGTTTGAATAAATATGTTTGAAGTTGGAGGATTGATTACTGGAGGAGTAATAAATATGTTTGTAGTTAGAGGGTTGATTCCTGGAGGAATAATAAATATGTTTGTAGTTAGAGGGTTGATTACTGAAGGGATAACATAATTATTTACAACTACTTTACAGGGAAGTTAAGGGAATTTTTAATTTTTGATTTTCCAAAAAAAGTAATTGTAAACAATTTTATTGTCTTTTGAGATGAAAATTTGTGAAATTTTTTATGAAAACTTTGCAGAGCAGGTGGTTATTTTACATAACTATCCCAAGGGACGTTTAGCAACCTAACCTCCCTCTGTTTGGGGAAATCNAGATTGGTACTGAATAATAAATATTTTTGTAGTTGGAGGGTTGATTACTGGAGGAGTAATGAGATTGATTGGAAGTCTGCAACTTGACGGAAATGTTCTTCTTCCAATAGGAAAACAACATTCAAATAAAAGTTTATTATCTCTCCTGGCTTGATTTGCATTTTACCCACTTTCTTAAAAATTCTATTTTACTTAAGCTTGAGAACCAAAAACGTTTAGCTCAGCCTGCATATCTTATTTTGTACAAACAGGTTGTCTTGCTAAACATGATAAGAGTGAGGGGGCTTCAATACGAAGTGAATAAATAATAAACGGAACAGACAGAATAAAAATGACTAGTTGGGCCATAAGATATATTTTGATTTTGTAAGCTTTCCAAATTATGGTTGCAGGACCATTTTTCAACCTTTATCCAATATATAATTTGGAGGAAATTGACATTTTCTCTTTAAAAGGGTTTAATTCTGATAATTTTCTATATTGCTTTTAAAGCCAAAAATGGGCTTGTCATTTAAGAAAGAAACTGCTATTGATAATAATCAAGTTTCTAAGAGCAGACAATGGATATCTCTTAGTTTCTTTATCAGAAAAAGTTTTCGAGGATATACAACACCATTAAGAACTGGACATGCCACTTTTTAATGGAGATAGGCTTGAAATTACAGCCCCTTTAAATTATATTATTTACTTTGATCTAAATGTTGAAAATACTAGCTGATATTTTGGATGACGAATACAATATCCATATTGAAGCCACCGACCTTCCTCCGATACATATTCATAACCAGAGAAGACCCAGTCGAGCATTTTTCAGCAGGGCCAGCTTTTCACAGGTATATGGTCATACTATGGGACCCATAAACTGTGGAATTGGCGGCCAACATCAGAGCAATTTAATGGTACTAGAAATTCAAGGGGCTTCGCGCCCTTCTTTCTAGCCTTAGAGGGTGCTTTGTGCCCATCTTCTAAATTAATTGTGAACAATGTTCTCTTTGTGTACATCGTAAACCAAAACAAAAATAATTCGCGGATTTTCACAAAAAATTTCATGGATTTTCAAAATTTTAAAAAATTTAATGAAGATCGAATTTTGATTGAGACAAATATTTAAAATTTCAATCATTCATAAACCTTCCCTGGGGTCTCTAGATGTCCCACAAAAAATTCCCGATCGGTTCAGCCGTTTTGACGTTTATAACAAACAGACAGACACCAAAACAAACAAACAGACAGACAAGCCAAATTTATATATAGATTTGCTGCTGGGCATAGTGGTTGGGGGTCTGCCTTTTTAATACCTATGTCTTTGCAACCTTAAATGGTAGACCTTAGATCTTTCAAACTTTGAACTCTATTGGATTAAATAAAATATCAATGTTTACAACATCAGGTTCCAAAGATATAGGAATTAAAACATTTGAGTTTGTGACAAAGACTCAATTCCTTTCCAAAAAGAAAAATGGAGTCATCTAAAGATTAAAAAATTGACTACATATTATATGTTAATGTTAATATCATGTATACTCAATGTTGACCGCAAATTCTTAACCAACTAATCTTAAAACCTACTAAAGGGTAATTAAAAACTTAACAAAAATTATACTTTTCTAAACCCCTATATCTTTGCAACCTTTAAATAAAAAAAATTCAAATTATTATTCTTTTAAAGATATCTTCTACTCCTGGATAAATGGACCAATAAACTGACATTGATAAATAAAAATCTTACATTTTTTTAATTCAGTTTCGAAACAACTTTGCTGACATGTCAAATATATCTGAGAGTGAGAGTTTGCCACCACCTCCAACCCAGTTTAATTCAGAAACTGGAGAAGAAATTACTGGTTTAAAGGTGATGAGAGCTTTATTTTGATGTTGTCATTTTATTCAAAGAAACACTTTGTTCAAGATATCAATCTAACTATAGCTTTTTGAAATTTCAATCATGTTGTCAGAAATAATGAACAAAACGTTAGAGATGTAAAAAGTTAAGAAAACCCCCTAACATTTAGTTTACAGTTTTTCTCTATCTAAATAACAATGAATAAGACATCATAGTTTTTACACTTGAAAATGTGTCGAATTCTGACAATTTTCTTTTTTGTATCTACTGCTTTCATCTGTACAGAAAAATAATCAAATTCTTATACTGAAAACATTTATTCTTCATTTGAAAAACATTAACAGGGTAATCGGGCATTATTTGCTTTAGAAAATTTGAAGAAATTATCAAAATTTAACACTTTTTAACTCTGAAAAATTATGCATCTATCTTCAACATTATTAAGGGTACTGTTACAAATCGGACATGCCCATTTTGAAAGTGGAAGGCAATTTGATATTACAACATCCCCATAAAAATATATCTTTTAAAGGTATATTTAGGCTAAATATGTACAGTCGTATCATTCTTCATGTTTTTGTCTTCACAAACTTATTGCCAGTCACTCACTTTCAATGCTTTTTCAGCTTTCAAAAATGCAATTACATTTTTTTAATGTTATTTTAGACTATTTTACCCACAAACTATGAGAAGTTACAGATTTGTAAAGAATTTTTAACACCCCCCGTGTTAAAAATTCTGTACATAAACTTCATAAACTCCTGGTTCCTTGCAACTGTAAACTTGTTTTTTTTCCAGCAGCCAATAAAGACAGAAAGCCGAACTCCATCTAAGGATAGTTATATTAGGAATGTTTTAGGTTGTCCTTTAAGTCTCATCCTGCTTAGGTTACTATGCATGTGAAATATTCTTTTCCAACTCTAAAAATCTATAAACCCTGTGTTTAAGTTTAGAATTTACACTATTTTACTTGGTCGTCTTCAAACTGCCAAGTTTTAAGGGACACACTGTATGTTTAGGATGCCAGTACCTCACCCACCTGTAACAGAAGACCTCGCCGACTGAGCTTAAACATCGGTCATCTTTACTCCAACGGTTCAGAATGCCCGACAGCTTATATTAAAATCGATGAAGAAATCGCAGTAGGAGGATTAACAAATCATGGATTAGAATTTGATAAGACCTCGTAAGATAAGATTGGGAGATTTCCTTAACATCACTTACCTCCCTCTCATCCTCCAAAACAATTAAATGTAAAACAAAAAATACCATTTATTCATTATATTGTTTAATTTTAAATAATCAAGATCGTCATTCAATTCTTCATGGTAAAATATATATATAAATATACAATGAAAATCACAGCTATCAAAAGTCCCCCCAACACCATCTTTTAAATAATCTTTTTAAATAAAGAACAAGTTTGTAAATCTTATTTATTTTGTGTGCTTTTTATTTTAACAGAGATTGGCACTTTACAACTAAAGTGATATATATCAAGATTGGTTAACAAGAAAAGAAAATGACAATCAAGTGTAAGGTTTGAATTTTTACTGAATTCATTAACGTTCCTGAACTGATTTTGTTTTTGTTTATTTTGGTAAACTGACCTACACTATATTTCTAGGACGGTAACCCCTAGATGGTTTACCTTATAAGTCGGTAACTCCCAAGTCAATTACCTATAGGTCTGATAGGATGGTAACCAATCTAATTGTAATGCTAAATGCTTGTATTGCATGTAAACAAATATGAATAAATCTGCCAACATTTTTTCTCTTCGAGAGAAAAAAGTAAATACATATATTTATAAAAGTACTAAATGCAATTTATGTTATATATATTTCATGTTAATTACATAAAACATACTAGTTTATAAGGCACTATTAGACAATGTTACTCTGACAACCAATGTAAAAAAAAACAGATACAGAAGAATTATATAAATTCAAAGATAAAGAATTATAAAAACTTGTTTATCAAGAACTAGATTTTAAGAAGGATCAAAAAAATGCATAGGTACCAAACAAAAATACAAGCGTTTTTTGTAATCTTACTTAATATCAAGATTGAATATCTTTTAAGTACACAATTTGAATTTATTTTAAGTACACACTTTGGATATCTTTTCAATTTAAAAATGAATAGAGCAATTAAATGAAGATCAGAAATGACTTTTACTGTGTGGATCAGATTGGTACTGGTGCTATGTGGATCAGATTGGTACTGGTGCTATGTGGATCAGATGTGTACTGTTACTATGTGGATTAGATTGGTACTGGTGCTATGTGGATCAGATTGTTACTGGTGCTATGGGATCAGATTGGTACTGGTGCTATGGGATCAGATTGGTACTGGTGCTATGTGGATCAGATTGGTACTGGTGCTATGTGGATCAGATTTGTACTGTTACTATGAGGTTCAGAATAGTACTATTCATGTGGATCAGATTGGTACTGGTACTTTGTGGCTCAGATAAGTACTCTTAATATGTGACTGAGATTGGTACTATTACCATGTGGATCAGATTAGCACTGGTACTATGTGGCTCATGTTGGTATTGGAACTGTGTGGATCAGATTGGTACAGGTACTATGTGAAAACAGTTTCTAAATCCAAAATTTAAAACAAAATTTCTTCTTGTACTTATGTACTTATGTCACAATAAACAATATAATTAATCTCAGTGTTCGGGAAAAAACATCATCTCAGGTGGAAAAAAAATGAATGGTAAAATTAAGAGAAAATAGACGAAATCCTTATTGTAAGAATTATCACACATTTGTAAAGTTTGGTAAAATGCAGATTTTGAAGGAACAAAAACATGCATTTGCATATATTGAAAAGATTCTTATATCTAAATAATTAAGTTGTTAAGCAAAATATTCTGCACACTCTTAAATTTACACTCTGCAAGAAAACAGTTTTTCACAGCTTTATGCCGCAAAGGAGCTTTTTCAAAGCTATATTTTGCAGAAGAAATTTTTTACAGGTTTATTTTGCAGAACAATTTTTTTTCAGTTTTATTTTGCAGAGTAGCTTTCTATAGATGTTTTTTCTGTAGAAGAGCTTTTTTAAGAGCTATACTCTACAAAAAGAGCCTTTTCAAGCGCTATATTTTGCAAAAACAACTCTTTCTAGAGATTTGTTTGCGGAACAACTTTTCTTTAGCTGTATGCTGCGGAAGAGCTTTTAAAATAACTATATTCTGAAAAAAACACCTTTTTTTGAAGATACAGTCTTCAAAACAGCTTTTTCTGAAGATATATTCAGTTGAAAAGCAACAAGTACAGCTAGCTTATCTAATTGATAATTATCAAGGGTGATTATCATGGTCGGTGAATTTTGATTCTGATTTTGATATAAACTCCTCATATCTGTTCAACTGTTGCTCACGTAGAAAATCAATAAAGGTGATTTCGGAAAGTGCGTAATATCTAAAAAATAAATTTCATTATTTCTTGTTTCATTGAGGGAAAGGGGAAAGTGCGTAATATCTAAAAAATAAATTTCATTATTTCTTGTTTCATTAAGGGAAAGGGGAAAGTCCTTCAGTTTTAAAGAGTGCCAGCAGTGATTTACAGCGCTCCTCTAGAAACCCGTTTCTAAGCATCGATGAAGAGGGGGGGGGAGATACTGACCTACACCAAGGAATAGTTTGATTAATCTTAAACCCAAGAACATCTTTGCTCCAAGGTTTAAATCCAGGATCCAGATCTAAAATATTTGGTCAAAATAAATTATAAAATTTTTGAACGAACTCGTAAAAAAATTTCAAACACTCAGTTAGTCTTTAAATTAAATTTGAAAAAACGAGAGAAAATAGTACAATTTCCTAATGTAAAAAAATGTTAGTGCGCGAAAGTTAGGTTTTTTTAATGTAAATTTCAGAACAATCTTGAAGTGGTAACATGTATTAAGAATTTGGATACGAAAGAACCTAATACTTGCCTAAAATTTTGATTTTATAATCCTTATGTCTTTGCCAATTTGATCAAGTTGAATTAGTATTTTGGACATCAGGTTGCAAAGATAAATGATTGGCAAAATTTGTGTTAGTTTTAATTCGTTTACAAGGAAAGGTGGGGGGCCTATTACTCTCCCGTAAATTTAAAAAGTGCTTAAACATAACTTAGTATTTTTATAGGGAGTTATTTTTTTTGCATGCAAACTCAAAAATATGTCTATTGCATGCATTTTTTGGTTTTGAACGGATCTGAGCAAAAGTGCGTGCGGCAATTACCTATAAATTGGCATACAAAATGCAACATTTGTGTTAAGATGACTCATATCCGAACTGCTGGCTAATAGCGCGCCGGTCAGAATGCACCAATGTCTATATTGACCTTGGAAATGAATTCCTTGTCCCAATTTCGCTGTAATTTGAAGTATCTCATGCTCCTTTTAATCTAACTCAGGTCTAACTTAGCACATACGTTTCAAAGATATTTTCTTTTTGGTGCGGGCGCGCAGACACTCATGGCTTTGAAATTGAATTTGTTGAGCTCATATTTGTTTCAAGAGTATCAAATTAAATGTTCAAGTGCAGTCAATGATGTTAAGATTGATCTACTGTCAAAAAAGCATATTTTTCACATGAAGCGCACGCACACACCCACACTTATTCTCAGATCCGTTCAAAACCAAAAAATGCATGTAATATCAGCTTCCTACAACAATGCTAAGTTATGTTTAAACACTTTAAATTTTCCGGAAAGTAAAACACTTCGTGCCCCCCCCATTTTTGTTTACACGACACTCAACAATGGACATTGACAAGCACACTGGACATTGAACGATGGTAACTAGACATTGGACTATGCTCACTGGAAACTGGGTAATATATTGGATAATGGACACTGGGCAATATATTGGATAATGGACACTGGGCAATATATTGGATAATAAACACTGGGCAATATATTGAATAATGGGCACTGGGCAATATATTGGATAATGGACAATGGGCAATATATTGGATAATGGACACTGGGCAATATATTGAATAATGGACAATGGGAAATATATTGGATAATGGATAATGGGCAGTATATTGGATAATGGACAACGGGCAATATATTGGTTAACGGACAAAGGGCAATACATTAGATAATGGACAATAGATTGGATAATGGACAAAAATATCCCCTTTTACCTTCCGATTTAGAGGACATATTTTCAACGCACTGTTTCATCACTTCATTGTTCAGAGATCTAATAAATCAATTCATTTTAATTTTAATTATTTTTTCTATCTTTATACATATACTTTGCTTGTCTGTTTGTTTGTCTTTCCGTTTGTATCAATTAAACGTCAAAACAGCTGATCCGATCGAGTACAAATTTGGATGCTCAAAATTAAAAAAATTTGTGTCCACAAGTTTTTGATTGGTTTTAAAAGTTTAAATATGTGCTAAAAAATATTAGTAACTCCGCAAACACAGTTAAAAGTTTAAATAGAAAATAGGCGCGAAGCGCACTAAAAACCTAGTATATATATACTTTGCTTGTCTGTCTGCCCGTTTGTATCATATAAACGTAAAACCGTCTGATCTGATCGACCCCAAGTTTTGTGTGGGACCTCAAATAAACCCTGGTAAGGTTGCTCCATAAATTTGTGTACAAACATTTTTGATTTTTGTTGAATTTTGAAAATGCGCAAAAAACATCATTAAATCCGCGAACTTTTTTTTGTTATTTTTTTGTTGTACAAAGAGAAGATAAAGCTGCCACAACTAAAAGTTGAAATTGATTATGAGTGTAAACGCCCTAAAAGCATATCGGAAGGGAAGCCAGTTAACGGTTTTCTATAGGTATTCCAGGGCAAAAAAATATGAAATAAGATTTTTTAAAGAAAATTTAAAGATCTTTCTTTGTTTCTATAATTATAGATTTATTTCTTACAAAAAAAACTATTTTGCAATATTATGATACAGAAAAAAAAACACAATTCATTTCAGCCCAATTTTGAAATCAATAACCAACAAGTGAAATTGACCTAAGAAAGATTAACATAAAATTGAAGAATTTGATGAATAAACTTGTTGTCGAATAAATGTTATTAAAAGTTTTTAAGTATAAAATGAATTGAAATGAAATGAAGAGGCTGGATATTGTCCAGCAGCCATCAGCTTACCTTAGCTTAGCTTTCTGTTTAATTATCTCCTCTTCTCCATATTCTTGTTTACGTTTTATCAGAATACCGCGAAAATATGTGTACAGCATATCCTCAGCCCATAACCAGTCCTGATAAAGATTAAATGGTAGTCTTAGTCCTGGTCCTATTTTTGGGTCTAGCACTGGTCCTAGTTTTAATCTTGGTTCTGGTCCTGATCCATATCATCACCTTCGTCCTAGTACTGGTCCTAGTTCTAATCCTGGTTCTGGTCCTGATCCATACCATCACCTTCGTCCTAGTCCTGGTCCTAGTTCTAGTCCTGGTTCTGGTCCTGATCCATTTCATTACCTTCGTCCTAGTCCTGGTCCTAGTTCTAATCCTGGTTCTGGTCCTGATCCATATCATCACTTTCGTCCTAGTCCTGGTCCTAGTTCTAGTCCTGGTTCTGGTCCTGATCCATATCATCATCTTCGTCCTAGTCCTGGTCCTAGTTCTAATCCTGGTTCTGGTCCTGATCCATATCATCACCTTCGTCCTAGTCCTGGTCCTAGTTCTAGTCCTGGTTCTGGTCCTGATCCATATCATTACCTTCGTCCTAGTCCTGGTCCTAGTCCTAATCCTGGTTCTGGTCCTGATCCATATCATCACCTTCGTCCTAGTCCTGGTCCTAGTTCTAGTCCTTGTTCAGGTTCTTGTCCATATCATCACCTTCGTCCTAGTCCTGGTCCTAGTTCTAATCCTAGTTCTGGTCCTGATCCATATCATCACCTTCATCCTAGTCGTGGTCCTAGTTCTAGTCCTGGTTCTGGTCCTTATCCATATCATCACCTTCGTCCTAGTCGTGGTCCTAGTTCTAGTCCTGGTTCTGGTCCTTGTTCAAGTTCTTGTCCATATCATCACCTTCGTCATAGTCCTGGTCCTAGTTCTAATCCTGGTTCTGATCCATATCATCACCTTCGTCCTAGTACTGGTCCTAGTTCTAGTCCTGGTTCTGGTCCTGATCCATATCATCACGTTCGTCCAAGTCCTGGTTCTGGTTCTTGTCCATATCATCACCTTCGTCCTAGTTGTGGTCCTAGTTCTAGTCCTGGTTCTGGTTCTTATCCATATCATCACCTTCGTCCTAGTCCTGGTCTTAGTTCTAGTCCTTGTTCAGGTTCTTGTCAATAGTTTCGATCTAGTTCTCTTTCTATTCCAACCCCATCTCCTTGTCATTGTCCTTGCACGATCATCCTTTGTCTAGTACTAGTTCTAGTCCTAGTCTTTGTCAAGCTACTGGTTCTAGTTCAGCTCCTTGGAGTAGTCCTTGTCCAAGTCCATCATTATCAGCATTAGATTTGCATTTTTAATTGGTGAAGGCTTTGTATTTATAAAAAAGAAGCACTATCGTTTACGAATACACTGAAAGTTCAGACAAGCTAAAGCTCGGGACAAAATTAAATCTAAAAAGTCTTGTACCTCCTCGATAAAGAGAAAATTTCTGTCCAAAATTTTTAAAAAACTGCGAACAAAAATAACAGTGTTATAAATAGTTAAAATGATGCAAAAATAGGTTGGGTGTGTGCATTATACTTTGCTTTTTGAATTATTCTAAGTGCTCTTTTCTGGCATTTTTTAAACAAATTATTTTTTTGGCCAGTACAGCTGTTAATTGGATAAGAGTATAATAAAGAGACTTAAGTGGAACAGTAAGCAGAAAATGTGTTTCTTTGTTTAAATAATACAAAGATTTAAAAATATATGAATACAACTGTATTGAAACTGTATTGAAACTCTTGTTTAAAATAAAAAATAGCAGAGCAGATATTTTGAAAGCTTACAGCTTTAAATTAAATTAGAACTTGGTATCAATGTCGACAGTTTTTTTTCTTTTCTGATGATTTAATAATTTCAACGATTTATTCAGGACTATCAGGATAATTTTGAAGATAAAACTCAGGTAATACAGAAGTTTTAGAAATTGAACTATTGATATTCCCAGCAATATTAGAAAAAAAGTCATTGAAGCCATTAGCCATTTCCGTTGGATTTGAGATTTTTGTATTATTCACGAGAATACTAACGATAGAACTATTTTCAGACTGTTTTCTTTTTATAGCTTCATTTAAAGGTTTCCAATTGGTGATTTAGGATCCGTCTATTTTGTTCAGAATAATACATTTTTTTACAAGCTCTGTATTAGATACAAATTATGTAACTGTTTATATGCATTTTTACTTAGTTTGTCTGAAAGCAAGTAAACATAAAATGCTGAAGTTTGTGAATATTTTTATTGATTTTTTTTTGTGAAAAGAGGAAAATGAGTTAAAAACTATATTGAATGAATCCCAAAAACTATTAAAAACGTCATCAGCAACTGTAAGACTATGCAATGAATCCCAATTAATAATGGACAAATTATTTTTGAACAAGTTTATATTATTTTGGGAAAAATCTCGATAAGAAGACATTTTAGGTGTATAAGTGCGGTTTTTTGAGTTAAGGATTAAAAAAAATAATAAAATTATCAGACTAAAACACTAGCTGAAGTTGACCCATTATGTCTGTTTGAAAAATTTGAACAATGAGTGAAAACTGAGATTTTGTAGTTTGTATCAACTTTGAGAAGATCAATCAATATTACTGTCCATAAAATTGCGAGTTTCAAAATTTTGACCAGATGTAAAAAAACTAAAAAAAATGTAAGTTTTAAAACTTTTTTACACAAAGGCTTTTTTGCGTTAATAGAACTACCTTCAGTAGTTTCCTTGATTTGTCGCTTAGAACTTGGACAGCAGAAGCTTTTCTAAACAACAGATTAGATTAGATAAAACGGACAGAGGAAGAACAAAAACAGGGGAACGAATTTAATGAATTTGAGAGGTCACTGAACTACCTACTGCCGGATCAAATCCTGAATCAATGATTAAAATCCTCATGAATCTTTAACTTTAAATCGGTGCAGGTAGGTGGTAGTTTAGTTACCTAGCTCAAATTCGTTAAATTCGGTCCAATATAAGATCCCAACAGTTAAACCGTTATGAAGATACGTTTAAACAGAGAACCACTAAAAATGTCTTGAATCACTTTAAGGAAAAACGTTTTTTTAACCACGACGTGTTCAAGTGAATTATTATCAGAAAAAGAAGTATTGTAACTTTGAATAAGTCCAGAATACTTCAAAAATAAATGTAAAAATACTAAATAAAAAAATTTTAACAGTAATAATAATAATACCTTGAGTTAAGTGGGAGACTAGAGAACTTGTTTAAAGGCCAGCACAGCTGTTGAGACAAAAGAACCAAACTTGACTCAAAATCTTCGGATATCATCACTTCAAATATACAGGATTATATAAATTGTTAACAAAGACCTAAATACGAAGACTTAAATTTTCAAGTTTAATTTTTAAAACTGTAATAAAATCTAAATTATTTCACACCAAAAACTTTGTTTACGTAATTTCCCGTTGTGGAGAAACTTTTAAAACCATTTTGCAATTTTTTTACCCTTTTAAACCAAGTTTTTTTTTGGGCCTTGCTCACTTACCAAGCCTAAAATTTTGCTTTAAACTATACTTAATGACATCTAATAAATTTTGTTTTAAAATAGTTTTATCCGTGTCGTAAGTTTACAACCAATTTTAGCACCTACGATTAATTTATTTGATTACCAGTGACTGTTTTACTGTTGATTGTTTAGATTCAAAACCAATACTGTAGCCAATGACGTCATGTACAAGTTTACGAAGCGTACACACACTATTCGGATAAATTCCTAATGTATTATCTTCTTCTATTGCATTATCTTTCAAAGAGAAGAACAAAGAAGATGAAAACTGTGTGTCTTACCGAGATCAAATTCTTTTTCTATTTCAAGTATTTTCTTCCGAACTTCCTCTACAGATGTCAACTCACTAGCAAACCTACACAAAATGAGAATAATGCACCATGTTAAAACATCTAAAAAATGTGAACAAAATTTCTAGTAGTTCTCGTTGTTTAAATCCGCTAGTCACTTCTACACGGGAACGCTATTGAAAACTATAAAATTTCTGACGGAAAACAAGGAGACCGATCCATCGATTTTATTCTAAACCGGGATTTGAAAGTACTGTTGTGCATAGGGCATGTCCCTATTCACAGATAAATATCCCTCCAAATCTTGCCTTTTTTTGAAATCCCTACTTTTCAAACATTTACTCCAAATATAAATATTTTCAATTTTCATTATTGTTAAAACAAACCACTGAGATTCTTTACTCTAGCTAAAGTATTTAAAAAATGGAATGCTGTAGACCTGAAGGAAGTAAGAGAAAAGTTCAGAAAGAAATTCTATCCAATATCAACGCACTCAGTTTCGGACTCCATTTTTCGTCTTTTTAAAAGTGGCAATTTTTTCAACAAATGTTATTATGACAAAAAAGGATAGGTTAAGAACATTAAATTCTAAAATCTCAATTTTTTGGGGTTACTGTATAAATGCCAAGATAACTATTATAGATGAGTCTATATAGAAATCTACAAAATGGTTAAATTTATGCAAGTGCTAGCTTTTATTTGTTACATTTACTGAAGATCAAACTGTGTTAAACGTTTTATTAATAAAAGTTTACCGGCCAAGGTCCCAGAATTGTTGATTTCGTCCCAGATATCCATGAACTCTTCTAAACGTAGTAATAAATATTTATAACTATATTTATCTATATTTGGTTGGTCTATAGGTTTGTTTGGATCCAATGTACATCAAAACTTACAGTAAAGACCGATAAAACTGTGATATTGGAAAACTAGTGTTAGACTGAAGTTAAAATTTGTACTAGGCTAATAATCATGAAATACATCAACATGTGCAGTGTTCACAGATCCATGTTAGACTAGACTAGACTAGACTAGACTAGACTAGACTAGACTAGACTAGACTAGACTAAACTAGACTAGACTAGACTAGACTAGACTAGACTAGACTAGACTAGACTAGACTAGACTAAACTATACCAAACCAACTCAAAAATGAAAAACTAAATGAAAAATCTAATCAAATTAAGGGATGTCATGTTCGAATACATTTACAAAAGACGTTAACAGGATTTAATGTAGAGGGCCGGGGAAGGGGGGGGGGGAGATATGGAACAGAGCCTAGCCCAATGTGTAATTGGATTTCAACATTAAACATTGGTAATTGGATTTCCACAACAAACATTGGTAATTGGATTTCCACAACAAACATTGGTAATTGGATTTCCACAACAAACATTGGTAATTGGATTTCCACAACAAACATTGGTAATTGGATTTCCACAACAAACATTGGTAATTGGATTTCCACAACAAACATTGGTAATTGGATTTCCACAACAAACATTGGTAATTGGATTTCCACAACAAACATTGGTAATTGGATTTCCACAACAAACATTGGTAATTGGATTTCCACAACAAACATTGGTAATTGGATTTCCACAACAAACATTGGTAATTGGATTTCCACAACAAACATTGGTAATTGGATTTCCACAACAAACATTGGTAATTGGATTTCCACAACAAACATTGGTAATTGGATTTCCACAACAAACATTGGTAATTGGATTTCCACAACAAACATTGGTAATTGGATTTCCACGTCAACCATTGGTAATAAGATTTCCCAATCAAACATTGGTAATTGGATTTCCACCTCAACAATTGGTAATTGGATTTTCACATCAGACATCTGCAATTGAATTTCCACATTAAACATTGGTAATTGGATTTCCACATCAACCATTGGTAATTTTCTGTAATAGTATTCTAATTTGACTTACCTGACTGGAATATCATTCTTGATATACAATTGTATAAAAGTTTCTAAATTCATCTTAAAGTTGTTCTCAAAGTGTACATAGTTGTACAACGATTCAAATGCATCAACAGGATTTCTGTTAATATTAACTTATCAAAACTATTTGTATGCTTGATTTCTCGTAAAATAATTTCTAAAGTTTTTGTAAGATAATCTTTATTTAGCAGCCCAACTATTACTCTCTCAAAAACTAAGATGTAAGGTAAACTAAAAAAAAAAGAAATAAAAATTAATAAAAAAGGTTTTATGTTAAACAGTTTGAAAAGTAGATTCCTAAGTATTGTAAAGTACACAGCATCCTCTCCAAGTATTTTCTTGACCTAATGAAAAGTAACGTTTTATTTCTTAGTTTGTGGTGTACGTCCACCTGACTATACAAGTAAAATTCTTCAATCAATTTTCACATAATACCCTAGTCCTAGTTTTTCCAAAATGTGATCTGCTTTTTTTGAACTTTAAGTAAAGATTTCAATTTATTAAATACTAGCTTAAGTGCTTGGCGTTGTCCGTGGAATAAGAAATTTGAGCTAAAAATAAAATTTGGAATTTTGAAAAAAAAAATTTAGCCTATGTTTCCCAAAGGGTACCCATTGGTTTACTAAAAAATGTGCTGCGAAGCGTCCTTAGATTCTAGAATATTAGAAATATTAATAATTATTCGTTATGAAAATGAAAACTCTAACATGAATGCATCAATTTTCAGTAATCTTATTGATAATTAAATTTTACAGTTTAATAACATTAATGCGCAGTAATGTGTTTTAATATCTTATTCAGTATTTATTCAGTATAAACAGAATCCTTTAGTTAGTTTGTATATATATATTTAAAGAATATTCAGGGACGTGCTTCTCGATGTATTAAATTAATAGGAAATTAATGAATGTTAGGGTCTCAGATTGAATTTTTAAAGTACATTTCTTAAGAAGAGTAATGTAATCGGTATTTATTCAATTTATAAAGTTACCTCCTTTTTGCTCCACATAGAATGAAGAGAAAATGCATTGTAACCCTGAGAAATCTTAACAATCTTAAAATTTTCTAAAATGTTTCTAAATTTTTAACAAAAATTCTAAAATTATATTTTACTTCATCTCAGGAGAATGCATTATCAAAATTTTAAACTCCCGTCTGAATTGTCAATTATACACAGTACAGCACTAATTTTTAAACTAAAATAAGTTGCTAGTACCTTTTTTAGACTTCTTTTGGACTTTTAAACATGCCAGATGAATAGGTTTAGACTTTTTAAACCTATATAATTGTAATCTGTAAGACTGTAAACGCGTGCGTTGATCAACTATCCATGTTGAATCGTTTGTGTCTGTCCTAAAAACGTTTGAAACATTGAAGATTTAAAGTAAAGAACCAACTTTTTATGAATGATAATATTTAAAAATTAAAAACTATTATAAAAAATGTGTTGTTAAGTCCCTGGGCATCAACTAATGGTTTCCAGGGCACTTGGTTCATCCAGGTACTGTTAAAGGGTCTATTCAGATTGTACTAAAATAAAGGGAATGTTCAGGTTGTACTATAAAATAAAGGGAATGTTCAGGTTGTACTAAAATAAAGGGAATGTTCAGGTTGCACTAAAATAAAGGGAATGTTCAGATTGTACTAAAATAAAGAGACTTTTCAGGTTGTACTAAAATAAAGGGAATGTTCAGGTTGTACTAAAATAAAGAGACTGTTGAGATTGTACTAAAATAAAGGGAATGTTCAGGTTGTACTAGAATAAAGGGAATTTTCAGGTTGTACTAAAATAAAGAGACTTTTCAGGTTGTACTAAAATAAAGGGAATGTTCAGGTTGTACTAAAATAAAGAGACTGTTCAGGTTGTACTGAAATAAAGGGAATGTTCAGGTTGTACTGAAATAAAGGATATGTTCAGGTTGTACTAAAATAAAGAGTGTTCAGGTTGTACTAAAATAAAGAGACTGTTCAGGTTGTACTGAAATAAAGGGAATGTTGAGGTTGTACTGAAATAAAGGGAATGTTCAGGTTGTACTAAAATAAAGAGTGTTCAGGTTGTACTAAAATAAAAAGACTGTTCAGGTTGTGCTAAAATAAAGAGAATGTTCAGGTTGTACTGATATAAAGGGAATTTTTACTGTTCAGGTTGTACTAAAATAAAGACTGTTCAGGTTGTACTAAAATAAAGGGAATGTTCAGGTTGTACTAAAATAAAGAGACTGTTCAGGTTGTACTAAAATAAAAAGACTGTTCAGGTTGTACTAGAATAAAGGGAATGTTCAGGTTGTTCTAAAATAAAGGGAATGTTCAGGTTGCACTAGAATAAAGGGAATGTTCAGGTTGTACTAAAATAAAGAGACTGTTCAGGTTGTACTGAAATACAGGGAATGTTCAGGTTGTGCTGAAATAAAGGGAATGTTCAGGTTGTACTGAAATAAAGAGTGTTCAGAGCTGAAAACTTTAGAATGAAATATCCAGATATCCCGTCGGATAATTAATCTGAAGATTAAAGTCATGAAGTAAACAAGCAATATTTAATCTGTCCCCCCCCCCCTCTAAATCCTGGATGTTTTATGTCCAAATATGACAAATGATACATCATTAGAAAGCTCTTGTGCTCTACTTTTAGAATCTTCAAAAAAATTTGCAAATTTGCAAAAATTGAATTTTTTATCGCAAAATCCAGTTAAATAGTAAAAATGTTTGCAAAAAAAAATTTGTCCAAAAAATAAAAAATTATACATTTTTGAAAAGCCCTTGACCATGCCATTTCAAATATGCAAAAATTTTTGCAAAATTTTAAATAACCTGATTTTTAATCGAGAAAAACTAAAAATGTGCAAATTTCCTTTGACAGGTTGTTTGCAAAAAATGTGCAATTTTATTTTTCGCAAAACTTGTGCAATCCGTTTCCTTATGTCATAGGCTTTCCAAAAAGCAAAATTTTATCAAAATCTGACAAGTGAAAGTGGGTCAAAACAAAGATTTAGTTTGTTACAGGCAAAAGCAGTCATTCAGGCAGTGTGCCTGAGGACTCAGGCAGTTAGTATTAAAGCCCGGTTTTAGGCCTAAAGGGAGGGCTTTGGGTATGTAAGAAAAGTCAGAAAATTTCAACAGCCTCAGACCAATACTTTTTGAGTTATGTAAAAAAAACTACAGGGGGGGTCAAATTGCCCCCCCCCCCAGCAGGAATAGGGTTAAATAAGTATTTAACCCTTTATACCTGAATATAGGGTAGTCCTCGATGCCCCCAATCTGGATACACTTTAAAATAAGTATTTAACCCTATATACCTGATTATAAGGTGGTCCTAGATGACTCCCCTCTGGATACATAACAAAATTCCAATTCTGTTCTAGACCATATCTAATAAATATTCAATACTAAACATTACAAAAAATAATTTTATAATTGATTACTTTGCTTCAGATGCTGATCTGATAAAACATTAAAACCCTTAATAATACCTATTCATCTCAACCATTAAAATGTCTAGTCAACGTTAGAAAGTAACAATTTTTTAAGAATTCATACAATAACAAATGAATAGCGGAATTAATGTCGTCGTCGCCCTTTCTTGTATACAGAAACATCATGAAGGATTTCATATTTCTTAACTGTAATTACTCTAATAATTTTCAACGATATATCAGTTACAACAGTATTTCTAATGAAGTGCAGGCTGTTAATTGATTAATCACTTGTAACAAAAAGCCCAAAAATGAATGAAGTAAGTAATTATTTATTTATGAAAAATAACAAAAACATACAAAATTAAGTGTTTCTGGAGAAAATATTTAAAACCTCCAAAAATAGAGGTTGTGGGAATATTTCCCCCCCAATTCTACTAAAGAAAATATAAAAAATAGAAATCATAGGAAATGGTAAGGAAAGTTACATATTTATTGTTTACATTATATTTATAGATTAGAGTACTAACCTAAAAATTATATTTTGCAGTGTACTGGATGCAGTCTTATGTGTTTTCAAAAACCCAACCTAAAATATTTATATCTAAGATAGGATTAGTTAGCAGGGATATTTGAACAGTCATTCATTCTAGAATTTAAATTTATCAATCATTTCTTTAAATTCAACAATTCTTTCTTTAAATTCATCAATTATTTCTTTAAATTCAACAAAGCTATCTTTAAATTCAACAATGCTCTCTTTAAATTCAACAATGTTCTCTTTAAATTCAACAATGCTATCTTTAAATTCAACGATTATTTCTTTAAATTCAACAATGCTATCTTTAAATTCAACAATTATTTCTTTAAATTCAACAAAGCTATCTTTAAATTCAACAATGCTCTCTTTAACTTCAACAATGCTCTCTTTAAATTCAACATTGTTCTCTTTAAATTCAACAATGCTCTCTTTAAATTCAACAATGCTCGCTTTAAATTCAACAATGATCTCTTTAAATTCAACAATGCTCTCATTAAATTCAACATTGTTCTCTTTAAATTCAACAATGCTCTCTTTAAATTCAACAATGCTTTCTTTAAATTCAACATTGCTCTCTTTAAATTCAACAATGTTCTCTTTAAATTCAACAATGCTTTCATAAAATTCAACAAATCTAGATGTTTAAATTCAACATTCTTCTCTTTGAATTCATTAATCCTTCCTTAAAGTTCAAAGGATTTCTCGTAAAATGGAAAGATTAATTCTTGCACTGTAAAAAGTATGGGGGCTGATAAACTATAAATAAAATTTTAATATTTCAAATTAAATAATTATTCTGATTTAAAAACTACAAACCTTAGTTGCGGGAGTAGAGCATGTATTGTTTGGGACTTTAGCTTCTTTCTCAACCTTTTCCACACTTAACACAGGTTTAACACATTTTTTAAAATTGCAATGAAGATGTGAAATTGTAATTGGAAAAAAATGTAGTTTGAAATAAATATATAGTTGAAAAAGACGCGCCAATAAAAAATGTTTAATTATAAAATCTATACATAAATTTGGCTTGGGTGTCTATTTGTCTGTCTGTCTGTTTGTTTGTTTGTATCCAATATACGTCAAAACGGCTGAACCGATCAGGCCCGAATTTTTTGTGGGACATCACGTGACCACAGGGAAGGTTTATAAATGATAAAAATAAAAAAAATGTGTTTTAAAGGTCTTTAATTTTGTAACAAAAAAATTAAATTCATGAAAATCTGCGAATTTTTTTTTTAAATCCGCAAAATTTTCTTCTTTGTTTTAAAATGTAAACAAAAAGAAAATGTTCACAATTTAAATAGAAGATGGGCGCGAAGCGCCCTAAAAGCCTTGTTAGAAGATTTGTGTAATCAGAAAAGAGGTGAAAACGAACTTATATATTTGAAAAGACAGTGATTTGAAAGAAATTATATTAACAAAAGAGAAAAGAACATGGCATTATTTAGCTTTAGAGTGTCCCAATAATGTGACCGATAATATTGCTTTTTGTCTTGAAAAATGTTTAATTCTAAAAATTTCTCCAAAGGATCGGACATACAACACTATTAATGGAAGGTCACTTAAATTAAATTTACAGTCCCTTTAAACAAATCAAAATTATCGGTGAATTTTTAAGATACAAAGAGTATAAAGTATAAAACATAATTAAACAATACAAAATCTAAAATATTCCTTAAGAGACACATTTTTCAATTTCAATAGTTTCCCCATTTGAAGAGGACCATGCATGATTCACAACAGTTCCCTCTAAACCTTTATCTGATCCATAATAAGATTATATCAACTCAACAACAGTTCCCTCTAAACCTTTATCTGATCCATAATAAGATTATATCAACTCAACAACAGTTCCCTCTAAACCTTTATCTGATCAATAATAAGATTATATCAACTCAAATCAGACTTTTAGGGAAATACGACTTTTATACTTTAAATACAAAATGACTTATTAAAAATGAAGCCTGGTTAGATGTTTGTCCAGCTTGAAAAGTTACAAGTTCAGACAATTTTCTCCATTGTTGCTGTAGCATAAATTCCCAAGTTACTTGAAGAAACAACGATTAAAACTATGAAATTTTTATAAAACATCTTTTCTCCATCAAACAAACGAGTTTAAGGGTACCGTACTATTGTGAATCAGACATGCCACTCGACAAATATAGGCTCACTGGAACTAATGTTAAAAATCTCAATATGGTCGTCTCTAAATGCTCATGTTTATTAGAAAATCCTGCACCTATTTGGTAGATGATTCTTCTCATCTTCCTCCTCCCCCTGGTCTATTGAACCTTCCTCTCCCCGGATCATATTCATGAAGTTGATCATATTCTTTTCCTCTACAAATATGACATATTAGCTTGATTTTAGGCGCTTAGGTGGATTTAAAAATTTACAGGTTTAGTAAAAAATTACAAATTTAATTTCAAATTAAAAGTTTTTCCTTCTTTATGTAAATATTCCTCCTTATACTTTTCTAATTTCCCGATTTCAGCGATAGAATCCAAAACCTCCATATACTTTCGGAAAAAGAAAAGAACTTAATTTTAAAAACCTTTAAAAAACATGCGAGATTTATGATTTTCCGCTTTATAAATAGCAGAGACCTCCTGGTTAGTTACTCCTTACTAATGACTACTCCTAACCTGTTAGTGGATTGGGTGGATGTATTGGTGTTCTCCTGATATCTACAATATGCTGAGTAAACCCAAGCATAGCTAGCGTTGAAATTACACAAAAAGCAATCAAACAGGGCCGCCTGAACGTAAAATAGTTAGAAAATATTTAAAAGTGAGAAGGGGCACTTTGAGATTGAACAGGACCATACTTACTTAAACCCTCTAGAAGGAGTACATGGGTAGGACGGTATAAAGTTTAGGACGGTTGCTGAAGACGACGACACTCGTCTAGAAATCTGCACATGTGACCCGATCAGCTGATTACTTGACTCTGTCAGCTGATTGCCAGGATCCAAGTCAGGATCTTCTCCCGGCAGGGACTGATATCCCACCGACACCATTTTAATTTACATTTTCTGAAACACGAATTTATTTTGAATATGATAAATTAACATTTTAATAACAATTTGGAAAATTTAAAAAGTTATTGCAATTTTTCCACAAGTTTTTTCTTTTGAAAAATATTCATAAGAGTCTAGAATCTGTTCGAAAGAGAAGGATTTCTCAATTATTGGAGAACACCGGCCTTGGTCCATCAGTTCACTTATTACGTATAATCCCTAGAAAATTATCATTAGCTTAGAGTTTTTATGGTTTAGTTTAATAATGTTTATTTCAGGATTTTTCAAATTTTGACAGTTTGATTCATGTTTCTTTATTGTTTCATAACAACTTAAATTTTTTTCTTTAAAAAATTCCCTATACATATTAAAAGAGACTGTGAGCGTAATTTTAAGATGTCAGACATACCCATTAATCTACTGAAACTCTATTTATTGTTTAACACTTTGTCTACAAGCTCTAATATATTTAAGAAATATTAATAGTTGCTTTCTAGGAAGTGGCAGAAAATTAATATTTACTTTAGCAAAAGTTGATTTCTAAAAATGGCAGAAAAAGAAAATTTACTTTAGCAATAGTTGCTTTCTAGAAGTGGCAGAAAATGAAAATTTACTTTAGCAATAGTTGCTTTCTAGAAGTGGTAGAAAATGAAAATTTACCTTAGCAATAGTTGCTTTCTAAAAGTGGCAGAAATGAAAATTTACTTTAGCAATAGTTGCTTTCTAAAAGTGGCAGAAAATGAAAATTTACTTTAGCAATAATTGCTTTCTAGAAGTGGCAGAAAATGAAAATTTACTTTAGCAATAATTGCTTTCTAGAAGTGGCAGAAAGTGAAAATTTACTTAAGAACGTTGGAAAACCGCGTTTAACTTTAAAAAGACCATAATTTCAACTTTTCAAGTAACGGAACACCTGTGTTGAGGTCAAATGTATACAGTGTACACCGGATTTCAGAACAATTCAACGCCTATTACTCACATAACACACAGAGCTCTCTCTGCTCGATCAACAGTCACGGGTTTGAAAAATACCGTTGTAAATCGGGTATTGCATGTAGGGTCACTTAAAATTATGCTTACAGTCCCTTTACGCTTTACGTGATTTCGTTTTTATTCTTTTTGACAGGACAATAAAACAATAATAGCCAATCACAGTTTAAATACAATATAATAAAATCCACGAAAAATAGAAATATGTAAATACCAGGATACCAACAAAGGATGAAACTTCAGAGGAGATTGTACAGAATTTATATTCTCTGTTACCTTAGATTCAAGACTCCGTGCAACTGTATAAGTGTTCCTTTCTTCCCCCCAAACCATAAAATAAGCCATTAGAAAGATATACTATTCAAGGCAGAAGACTTAATTTAACTTGGACTCGTCATATCTTAAGAGTTTTACGTCAGCCTTATAGTCTAATCCTTGTGGGTAGCCTTGTACATCAGAAAATCAAAAATTTTGAATATCCATCTATCTATCTATCTATCTACCTGTTTATCTGGTTTAAAATAAGCCCATCTAACAGTATTCCCAGCACTCACTAAATATATTCATTAATTACTCATTAAAAACTTTCTAGGAGTACATTTTTTCAAAATCCCCCTCCTCCCTCTCATGGGAGAATTTATTTTCAAAATCTGAGAGAAACTGACAATTTAGACATCATATTCCAAATTTTTAAAACACTTTTTTCCAAAACAGCGAATAAAACCCACTTTTCGCATAGCTATATAATATACTGGAATATAGATTACTTTTCAGATAGATAAGAATCTTACATTAACCAGAAATAAACTTTTTTTAATCTATATATATACTTTGCTTGTCTGTCTGTTCGTTCGTATCAAAATACGTCAAAACGGCTGAACCGATTGGACTCAACGTTTGTGTAGGACCTCGCATGACCCCAAGGAAGGGTAATGGATGATCGAATTTTCAAAAGTTTGCCTTCATCAAAATGTTATTTTTAAAAATTTTATAACTCCACGAAATTTCTTCATAAAATCTGCGAAATGTTTTGTCTGTTTTTGTTTTACAATGTACATAAAGAGATCATTTTCACAATGGAAATGAAAGATGGGCGCGAAGCGCCCTGATAACCTATTATTAACATATTTCTTTAAAACTAGAATATTAAAGAAATTTCAATGAACTGAGAAATAAAGATCAGATGAGCCCAATAATATTTCTATCTGATGTCCCATGTCTCGATGAATTGATATAAAACTGCTACACGACAACTCTTACATAAGTAATTATAGTATTTCACTTGTAAGAGACACCACTAAAAAGAAGTTTTCTTAGTCAACTAGGGCTGGCCAATGTTCTGTAAACAAACGAAAAGATTTTGGAAATAAACGGAAGCTACAATCTGAACGTCTGAACGTGACCAGCCCTAGTTAAGATAATAAAGAAGAAACACTCCAAGAGATAAATAGATGTCCCAACTTAAAGCCGCGTTGATCGGAGACGATTTTAGTGTCAAAACTTAGTTTCCACGACTGTTCTTAAGTTTAATTTCAATGTAAAACTAAATACTAAAATCTATGAAATATCAAAAATATCAACATTTAACACTTGTGAAGCTGAATGAAGTAAAGTACAAATATGAATAAGAATAAAAATAATAAATTCTTAAAAATTTATGTAATTAGTTACCAGCTTTTATATTCGCTATAATTAGTTCTCCAATGCTTGTTAAAGTTCCCTGTAGCAAACCCTGAAACATAAACAACCTCGTTAATGTTTATTTACATTATATATACAACTAGCTTGAGATCCCAGCGTTGCCCAAGGTAATTATAGTTACCCACGCCGTTTACCCGCACTTGGGTGTAAATTACGATTTTAGCTATTTTCCCTATAATAGTAAAACCACTCAAGATCCCAAACCAAGCTAAGATTACAGGGATTACAACTTTATATATACATAGATACATACATTGCATAACACATACATAAATACATACATTACATTCAGGGTGTCTCAATAAACATCTTCTATACCGTCTTTGTCCTGCTAATGTTGAGAAATTTGTCCAAATTTATAAAATAACAACAAAAAAATGAAATGTTAAAAATCCCCATCAATTTAAAATCAGAGCAGGAAGACCTCATTTACGAAAGCTCAAAAGTACATATACATAATAAGTTTTTGATTAACTCAATTATCGGAAATCAATGACGATTTGCAATTTGTCTCTTCAATGACGAAGAAGAGCACAGTTTACTAAATCTGCGACCCAATTCAACAAAATGTTAAGAACACAGTTTACTAAATCTGCAACCCAATTCAACAAAATGTTTAAGAAGAACACATTTTACTAAATCTGCAACCCAATTCAACAAAATGCTAATGAAGAGCACATTTTTTGACGAGGGAAAATTTCAATTCAAACTTAAATAAGCATAAAAATTGTACCTGTTGATCTGTGTTGTTGAGTACAGGACTATCCAGTGTTATAACACAACCACCAGTTCTTAAAAGTGCCACTGAAAAATAAGTTCAATATTAAAGGGACTGCTAGCGTAATTTCAAACGACCCTACATGCAAAGATGGCGATGCCCGATTCAAAATAGTGCCCTTGCCACCTTATGCTGATTAATGTGAAAGATATTATTGTTTTTCTTGGTTTCAAAATGTTTAATTCCAAAATGATTTCTTGCAGTAGAAGTAAGCAATCATTTTAAATATTATAAACATTGATATACATGTATACTTGATCAGACAAAGCTTTCAAGGGTACCCTTGTGAATCGCGCATTCACATCTTTGTATGGAGGGTCACTTGAAGTTTAGCTCTTACAGTGCCTTTAAATAAATTTTTTGTACTCATTTATACTTATTGACAGATTCTCAAGTGTCTTAATTCCCTTATCTATTTTATGAATCTATTTTCTGAATCTTATTTCTGAATCTAATTTCTGAATCTAATTTTTAAATCTAATTTCTAAAACTAATTTTCAAATCCTTGTAAATTTGGTTAACCTTTTTTTGTAAATTTTGTTAACTTTTTACACTTTTTACACTTTTACACTACTTTTTTTGTTAACTATTATAATCATTTTAATAACATGATTTTCACCAAAATTAATTATTGCAAATGAATTTATAAATTTAACCGCCTTGTGCCATTATTGTAAAAAATGTGGTTTTTTTTCTGCGACTCTTTCTTATCCTTTTCTTTTCAATTTTTGATAAATTTGAAAAAATTTAACCTAAAAAACAGAAAAAGTAAAAATCCCGACAAAAATATTCCGTAGAATACGACAAGGCATTGTATAGATGTTTTACCTAATTCTGTAGATTTACTGCCAAATCCGGCACAGTCCAATATTATATCAAAACCTAGAAAACAAATTTGCTATTTGTTGTTTGGAGTTTTATTTTCCAAATTTGCTTCNTACTGTTGTTCGTAAAATGGTTGGATTGTTCGATTATAGTTATGAATTTTAAAAATTACTTTAAATTTTGGGTTTGGTAACATCAAAACAGGAGCTTGGTTTAATTTAGCATAAATTTTATATTTCAATACCAGTCCCTTTATCTTGTGGGAAAACTTTCTAAATTGCTTCTTTAATGTTTTCTGTGTAAGACAAAGAGGAGATTAAGAAACCTCTTTGTACCAATTTACGATTTAACTTGAACAATTTGTCTAGGATTCCTTTATACTACACATTTAGGGTTCAGGGAAAATAGAATATCAATTAAATTATTAAGTTTTCCATCAATTTTTCATGTTAAATTATCTTTTACCTTTCAAAACATTTTTTACTCTAAAATTTCCCGTTTCATTTTTTAATGTTTAATGTTTAATGTTTATCTTTTAATGTTCAAGTCATAATTGATAAGCATTTCTTGATTATAAACATATTTTTGTAATTTATCTTTTTATGAAATAATTGTTGTATTTTTATCAAGGATCCTATTTTTGCATGTTATAAAGAAAATATTTAATCTTTGGCCCTATGCTCTCATAATGAAGCACTTTTTGTACTTTTAACAAAAAGCACAACATTTTCTGGTATTTTTTATCATTGAAGTGATTTTTAAAATTATAAAATAGCTAATTTGGAAATTAGAGACAACTAAAAATCAACGAATCCGATAGATCAGAATTCAGAAACTTTATATTTTCTATTTAATTACTGTATGTAGTTTAATTTTCAATTAATTATCACCAAAAAAGCCTTGATTGAAAATAAAAGTTCACAAACCTGACAAAGATATTAAATCTTTTATATAATTTTCATCTTTGTAATCTAGATAAACACAACCTAGATCTTCTAGTGTAGCTTTAGACTCGGGTCCTAGAATAAACAAATAAATAGATAAATCTATATAATAAAGCTCTTCGCTTACACATATATATAACTAATTTTTTTCAACGCGGGTGGGATATATATATATATGTATATGAATACGATACAATAAATCTTTAATTAGTTGTTGATATTTCTTCATAAAAACATTAAATATAAATGTATGTTAGACATATTGGTCCAAACGGCTATGGCCAAATTTGCTAGGAATGACAAATAATTGTCTTAACTATAAAAAAATAATTGTGTTTTATAAATTACATGGGCAACACCGACACTTCACCTCGGAAATAAATAAATCAATAAATAAATAAAGGGTGTTTTAAAAAAAAGTAAATTTAAATTTCGCAGATCTATAAAAATGACTATTAAAGGGACTGTAAAAGTAATTTCAAGTGACCCCCTTATAAGAGAGTGGCGTATCTAATTCCAAAGGTAACCTCAAAAGTTTTGTCTGGTCAAGTATGTATTTGATTTCCGACTGATATTTTTATTTCTGGTTTCTCTGAATGGACTTGCTCATTTCTTGCTTCAGAATACTTGGAGAAATTATCTGTATAATTAAGAATTTTTTTAAATCAGAAAATCGACAATATCTTCCACAATCTTGATCAGATTAAGATTACAAGGGAAACGCTGTCAATCAGAAATGTCACTCTTTTTTAAAGGAAGGTTATAACTTAAAACTACGAAGACTGTCACTTTTAAAATATAAAATAATAATAAATACTTGATGAAAAAAACTTCGGATACGAAGTCTGGTGCCTTATCCATTAGTGAAATAAGGAGAGATAAGAGATAAGAGTGAAGGAGACATTTTCTTCAAGTTCAACAAAGTTCTTAAAAGTCTGGTCTGAGTATGGTTTTGAACCCCCTGTCTAAAAGTAATAGCCTGCATGGCGTCGATCTCATAAACCGAAGATTGTGGGTTCGAGTCCCACCGCGGTTTTGCAACCCAAGGTTCACTGTACTATTTTGACCTGGAATTTGACTTCTAAGTATTTTAAAACGAAAAAGATCAAAATAAGAAAAAATTCCATGTTTTTGCTATTCAAAGTTTAAAAATGTCAACAACACGTTTTCAATTTTTTAAGAACTAGAAATGTAATCAAAACCTATGTAAACCTATTTATGTATTGCCGTGCTAAAAATAATAACAAAGATCCGTAAAATCAATTCTTACACCACTCTTTTCCGAGTTAATGTTCCTCCCCATCTGTCCTATACCCCCGGATACACTTCCATTTCCCGAGTTAATGTTCCTCCCCATCTGTCCTATACCCCCTGATACACTTCCATTTTCCGAGTTAATGTTCCTCCCCATCTGTCCTATACCGCCTGATACACTTCCATTTCCCGAGTTAATGTTCCTCCACACCTGTCCTATACCCCCGGATACACTCCCATTTTCCGAGTTAATGTTCCTCCCCATCTGTCCTATACCCCCTGATTCACTTCCATTTTCCGAGTTAATGTTCCTCCCCATCTGTCCTATACCCCCGGATACACTTCCATTTTCCTGGTAATATTCCTCATTCAAAATCTCTCAACACAAATTAATTAATAAATCAAATCAATCCTAAAACGCATGCTTGTCTGCAAGAATTTTGCCTAGATGAAATATACAAAGCAAGTCCTATTTATCCAACCTCCGCCTAAAGCAAATGTTGCAATAACAATTTCCAAGTGTTAATTTCTATGACCAAAAAACATCCCAAAGATTTGACAAGTAATAATATCTTTGAAAATTAACATAAATGTTGGGTATTTTCAAAGTATCATTTAAGCAAATACGTTGAAAAATAATACAAAAGCAGATGAGAGATTAAATTTATCACGATGAAATTGCTTATTTTCATTCTGATTCTTTTTCCTACCTTTGCGCAAACACGATAGATTCTTTCAAACAATCAAGACGACTTATCCGTAATCAAAGTAAGCTTGGAATAAATATTAACTAGCAGTTTTGACAGAAACTTAATATTGGTACTTTTTTAACTAATTAACTGAATAACGCAGTTATTGAAAGACTAAATGTATCAAATCCAGACTCTAACCTTGAAAATATACAAATACAGCAGTTTAAAATTAATAAAAGATTAGATTCTTGACCGTAAAAAAACTACGTTAAACGCCTGAACTTTTAGATTCCAAAGGAGAAAAGCTAAAGCTGTGATGTTTTAAAAAACTACATGCTACAGCTGTATTGCGTAGAAACTACTTGCTACAGCTAAGTTGTATAGAAACTACCTGCTACATCTGTATTGTATAGAAACTACCTGCTACAACTGTGTTGTATAGAAACTATCTGCTACATCTGTATTGTATAGAAACTAACTACTACAGTGTGTTGAATAGAAACTACCTGCTACAGCTTTGTTGTATAGAAACTATCTGATAGATTTGTATTGTATACAAACTACCTGCTACAACAGTGTTGTATAGAAACTACCTGCTACAACTGTGTTGTATAGAAACTACCTGCTACATCTGTATTGTATAGAAACTATCTGCTACAACTGTGTTGTATAGAAACTATCTGCTACAACTGTGTTGTATAGAAACTATCTGCTACAACTGTATTGTATAGAAACTACTTGCTACGACTGTGTTGTATAGAAACTATCTGCTACAACTGTGTTGTATAGAAACCATCTGCTACAACTGTATTGTATAGAAACTAACTACTACAGTGTGTTGANTTGAATTTTTCAAGACAAATAGAGAATACTTTTTATATACAGATACACTTTAGAGTATACAACTTACCCGGACCAGTGTAAAAAAATTAGTGTCAAAAAGTACTTGCAATAAATTGTATGAATGTAAATAATAAATATATCGTGCAGGTGCTTTATTGTGTTTTCAGGGGTGAATAATATTCCGAGGTCAGATAGTCAGAATAAATTATCTTTACAGGTGTGAGACAAGTAGGAGGGGCCCCTCCTCAGGTGTCAAACAAAAAGATTTATTCCACGCTCATCAGCTTGTAAACAATGAAAATATCAATACAATTATAACATAATTATAATAGACTTTGTTATTAGTTTTCCTTATCAAGCTAAAGAGCTATATGGGGCAAAAGCATGAGAGGGGGGTAAGTGTTAGAATATATAAACATCGTGTAGAAAATTTTCAATATCAATTTGCAAAAATATTTTAAATTTTTTATACATATTCCGGAAAAAATGTTTTCAAACATGCATAAAATCTAGGGAGAAACCTATTTTCAAGAAGGGGAGATGGTAATGTTTTTTCAAAACTACTACAAAATATACACCTTTAAGTATGCTAAGCAATAAGCATACTAATTTTATGTTTTCTTAGTACAGCTATTTAGATAGATGAGTTCAATCTAAATAGTCAGGAACAGTCTATTAAATCTGCTCGGACGGACGCGCTTAAAAAGAAGCGGACAGACGAGCGCGCAGCATTAGGAGGCTCTGAAGCACATAAAAAGAACTGACTTCCACTTTTACCACCGACTTATTAAGACTTTAATCTGTTGTGCGTCATGAGTATTAGATATTAAATTTATCTCAGATTATATTCATTGTTTAGGCTACTGACAGGAATTGTCTAGATAGGATAAACAAGTTGAAGACGACTTCTGGACTAGCCTCTGCTCNAGTATAAGAATTTACCTCTTCAATACAGTGGTACTCACAATAAGGTCACTCTCCGCACAATACAACAGATGCATGACCGGACCAAGGTGCTGTCGTTTAAACAGTTCCACTCAGGAAATATAAATGTTAGATCTAAACCTATTCAGAAGATAGAGAAACGTGACGAAGCCGGGATCACTTCTTCTTTGGAGTTCAACTGGGAAGCGCCAACCAATCTATCCCAAGTTTCCGACGCCTTGCTCAACTACTGCACCATACTCCTTCACCTTTGGCCTCTTGATCAGACTGGCCTCATCATCCTCAGATTGGTAAACAAATATAACTATTTTCCCTGTGCTAATTCCCTTACTGAACGTGTAAACCTAGTGTCTACATTCTTCAACACTATACTAAGGGAGAATGCTGCTAGAGCTGGACGCAGAGCTGTACCTATGAACTTCAAAGAGCAGGAAGAGACTCTCAAGAATATCCTCACCTCCTTGGGTTTCAGTAGTGCTGTTCCTACGGGACGTATTAACCGCTCAGAGTCTGACAAATTTAGATCTGCTCCGATGCGTTCTACTATCCCTGTCTCTGGAAACCAAAACCAGAACAAGCCTAAAGTCTTGATGATCGGCTCTACCCCTGTTTGTTTCAATTTTAATAGCGGCCATTGCAGGAACCCTGGCTCAGCTACAAGTTGCAAAGATCAAAGAGGTAGAGAATTTGCACATCTGTGCAATAAATGGCTTGATGCCAAGCAAGCTTACTGTCTAGGACGTCACTCCAGGGCTGCCTTTAGACACTGAGCTACTACATTCTTCAGCCTATTGTTTTTTTTATAAAATCCCATTCTATTTGATTATCTATGTTATTTTTTTTTCACTCATTAAATCTCATTATGCTTAATCGTTTATACACCTTTCATATAAATAAATATATCTTTTATTTTTTACTAACTGTTAATAGATTAATGGTTCGTCAAATATAGAGTTTCAAACTTATAATCTCTTCAAGCTTTCCAGTTACCCATAACGAAAGGACTGTCTATAATTTCATTTATGATTTTAAAACTTCTTATTAACTTTTCGAATTTCTTAATCAACAAAAATAAGAAACTATATTTTCTTATAATAATTTTATTTTCTATCTTTGATACATTACAACAGTCAGGGTAATTTTCTTTTCTTATTCAAACAACTGAATACTGGAGTAATTTATAACCCAATTCATTGGAAATAAATGATTACTGTGCTGTATATTTCCTTCTTATAGGACTATAATATCTCTAAATTGAAGAGTGTCTAAATAATATCATGGATAATTTGCACTGTGCAGGGTTTTCCTTTATCATAAGACTTTATATCTTAACTTATGTGCGTCGACGTCCACGAATTTAATATTAAAATAATGATATTAATGTACTCAACATTAACTTTTGTACATTTTTATTTATATCTACTCGGTGTCCCACGAAACTTGACGGTTGGTAAATACTCTAGTCTGTCTTTTTCCATAATTTGTTAGTTGTTTTGATACCAGAGGTCAATATAATTCATATGGTAGTCATTTTTAAATTTATTTAATTTCAAAACTCAAAATATCGATTTAATAGGTCATGTTTCGTCGCTCACCCTGTATTAAACTAGATAATTCAGACAAGATATATTCTACATTATTAACGTCCTTAGCGTACTTGGATTACTAGAAACATTTTATAATAAACATTAGATGGTGGAATTATTTAGCATTGACATTCAAACGAAATATATTAAACAGTATCACAATCCTTAGTGTAACCTTTTCAATATTGATAATTTAGTTGTCTTCAACATTTATGGTTCTTTAATGACATATAATTCTTTCGCACTATGAAACTACTATGATGACATTTATATTTACTATTAAGACGACATTTGTATTCGTGTTTACAATATACAAAGCAAATGCCACAAATTATTTCTACCAAACCTAAATAAACACACAAACCTTCTGCGTTGGTTTTAGTGATAAATCTGTTGGACGTATTTATTATAATTTATGAGTTTTATTCCACTTTACCATACACTATTCACTTAATATTTTCCTGTTAATAGCGTATCATGCCTTTTATTTCTGTTTTAGCTAACAATATTAATATTAATATACGAAGCAAATGCCGCAAAATATTTCTACCAAACCTAAATAAACACGCAAACCTTCTGCGTTGGTTTTAGTGATAAATCTGCTAGACATATTTATTAGAATTTATGAGTTTTATTACACTTTACCTTACACATTCACTTAATAACTTATCTCTTAAGAACGTATCATGCCTTTTGTTTCTATTTTAGCTAGCAATATTAATACTTTTAGAAATCAGTCTACAAACCATTTCTTTCCACTTAAATCTGCTTGAACTATTAAGACACGAGATGAAACTACCAATACCTGAGCTCCCTCCTATGAAAACATTCAAGCCAAAATACAACCTACCTATCTTACAATCCTATAAAACAAAGCTGTACAATTGGTACTGGGAAAATTTTCCTACTAATTACAAGCCTTTATGCAAATCCTTAGTTGATCCCATCAAATTGAGAGCGCTAGCACTAGAAACTGGGTTCCAAGACAGCTCTACTCTAAATAAGATTTGCATAGACCTTACAGGAGGCGCTGACATTGGTTGCAAAGGCTCATCTAGGACCCCTTCTTTTTCTACCAATGCCCCTAGTGCCTACGAGTTTGCACCACATGTTTCAGATGCTATCGCTGATTGGCTGAACAAAGGGTTTGCACAGGGTCCTGTACCTATTGATGAGATACCAGCCACAGCAAAAATCAATGGCATTATGACAAAGCCGAAGCCTAACGGCTCAGTTAGAATCATCCTGAACCTAAGTTCGCCTTTGGGCAATTGTGTTAATGAAGGCATTGACAAAGATGAATTTCCAACCATAATGTCTTCCACCACGAAGTGGCTTAGAGCCTTACACCTAGCTGGTCGTAAAGCTAAAATGTGCAAGATCGACTGGGCTGACGCCTACAAACATATGGCTGTATGTGCAAAAGACACAGATCTACAGTGGTTTACGTGGTTAGGGTTTGGATTCAAAGAATTGTGCCTTATCTTTGGATGTGTTAGCAGTGCCGGAATCTATGATAGACTAGCGAAGGTAGTTGTGCACATAGTAGCTACAAAATCAAATTTCCCAGTGTCCAGAATATGTCAACACTTATACGACTGCTGTGCTACAGCCCCAGCCGCATCCGACACCTTAGAAATATTTGATAACACCTTTTCCGAAATAGCAGGTTAACTTGGTGTTAAACTAGCACCACGCGAAGATCCAGAGAAGTCTTTCGGCCCCAGCACACATGGTCTGGTACTCGGCATAGTCTATGACACAGTTCAATGGACTTGGGCGCTCAACCAAGGAAAACTAGCCAGGATATTGCACGACAAAAACAAATTTTTAATCTCGGATCACATGCCACAATCAGCTATATGGAGCATAGTCGGGAAAATCATCCACATTCAACCACTCATACCCAACAGCCGTTTCAACATGCATCATTTATTAGATCTAAATAGCCACTCCGCAGATAAAACTACTTCAGTCCAATTGACACCTAATTTCAAAAAACAACTACACTTCTGGTTCACCATGATAAAGTTATGCTCCGGTAGAGGTAAACTAATTAACCCAGACAAGTCCTTACCACCATGGGCCATCGAAGTCTACACAGATGCTGCTGGCGGTTCAATGGCTACTAAAGGACTTGGAGTGGGTGTCGTCACTAACTGCTGGTGGTCATACGTACCCTGGTCATCAGCGATAAACCTCAACAAGACCAAAATAAACGGAAGATACCTTGGTAGATGCATGTCGGCACTAGAACTAGTTGGACCACTTTTAGCCATTTCTGGTGGATTTTCATGGGCCAAGAACAGTCCAATCAAAATTTGGGTGGACAACGCAGCTTCCGTCATCATCTACAAGAAAGGATATAGTCGCTCTTGTCCCCTCTCTACTACTCTAGCTATCGCCATCTCCACGGTAGCCGCTGGACTTGGTGCTACTGTGGAAATAACTAAGATATTCAGATGTTCAACACCATTAGCTTCTATGGCAGATGCTTTGTCAAAAGCTAATTTTCCCAAATTCCGGGAAATTAATAATAGAATCCAGTTGAACTTGCCTTTAAATCAAGCTTGGATTCCACCATCACTACTACTCTGGATCAATAATCCGACTGCGGATGATTTGCTCGGAGACAAAATACTCACGGACATTTCTAGACACTCATTGGTTCTTGGGCTCAACTGTTGACTTCTACTTTAGGAATGGTAGGTTGTTGCGCGTTTCGACTCAGCTATGCTGTGATGCGGTTTAGAGGTTTCCTACTCCTACTTTTTACCTCCCTACTCCCCTATCTATGCTATCATTATAGCTTAGATATTACCTCACCTCTATTCCGTGCCAGCCACCTACTTATCTTACTTTTCAGGATATCATGCAACCCCCCCTTTAGGTGGTGTCCTTAACCCTAATTCAGGTCTGGGTTATGGTCCACCTACCTCCTTCCTTTCTTCCTCCCCTCTTGGTCTCTTCTACTTACTACAGAGGCTTCACCCAGGTGAGCGTGTTCATCGTTGTTTAGGCTACTGACAGGAATTGTCTAGATAGGATAAACAAGTTGAAGACGACTTCTGGACTAGCCTCTGCTCACAATTATGTACTGCTATTACTGTACGCGGCCCGGTCCCACATGTGTACTGCACGTGTACCTTCCTTACTCTCTACCTGTGTTCGCCTTTCTCTCCTACACTCAGTCTACCTTCAACCTCCCAAAGTTACCCTACTACTTTCTGCTATTCTTCTCAGAAGGAGAGTATTATTTTATAACAGCGTTATTAGCTAAGTTTATTCTTCTACACGCCTGATGTTTTTTTTTCTCTTATTCAGTCCAGTATTTTCTACGAATCTTTACAGTGACGCTTTAAATTTTAACACTGCTCTGCATAGCTAATTTATCTCTCCGAGGTTAACTTTTGGTTTTCGTTACTTTCTCCTTTATACCTGATTTCACTTTTACTAGATCGTTGGCAACTCCTTCTTACTTAGTACTTATTATTTAACTAGTTCTTTTACAATTGTACAATTGTGTTATTATTTTGACTTATAAATTCAGTTGGTGCTTAAACTTAGTTTTTACTATTTATTTGGTTTCTATATTGTTATTTTATTAATGTTTCGACCGTCTATAATTTAACTTTATTATTTAATAACATCTTATGCTTTTATTTTATCTTTACTTTATGAATATTTACTATTATTTGATAGCGTTTTATATACGTTTATTTTTACATGAATATTTTTCTTTTGTCTTGGCGTTTTATACATTTAAATTTTTACCTTTGCTTCGACCATCTAACTTATAGTTTTATGTACAGTTAATATATTCCAATAGCGTTTTATTGTTCCTATTTTATACTCATTTCAGTTTTTATTTTACTATTGGAAACTTTTCTTACTTTTTTTAACTCTTCCTTTTTCAGTCATGCCTCCAGCTCGTACGGTAATCCGTAGCAACACTGGTTTCTCTGATCCGGCGGATCTCTCTCTACCAGTACTGAAAGATCTCTCAGTCGACAATGTCGACGATTTCGGCTCAGTGCTCCCTGATGCAAATGTTGCTCTAGTGAATCACTCATTTTAACTATTAATAACCTTTCCCCTGGTGAAAGGTTCTATTTGGATTTTCTATACCTTCCCTGGTAGAAGGTTATATTTATATTTTCTATACTTTCCCCCAGGCGGATGGTTCTATTCAGATTTCTATACTTCCCCTTGGTGGGAAGTTTTTAATTAATTTAAAACCTTTCCCCGGGTACAATATATATTGTACCCTAGAGGATGATATCTACAGCGTGTTGTATGTAAACTACCTGCTACAGCTGTATTGCATATAAAATACCTGTTACNACCAGCCATTCCTACCGCTATGCCGGGCTCAACTAAATATGGTCCAAATGGCCTTTTCTCCATCAACTCTTTTCACCAACTCACTACAAATTCTGAACTCTGCATCCTACTTAGCAATCTAGCAAACCACTCTCTATCTAAGAGTACCTGGAGTACTTATAAAACCTCTTACAAAATGCTCCTCCAATGCTTTGATAACAATGTTAATTTTCGTTTAACTCAGCCTACCATCATTACCTTTATTGGATGGCTGGCAAATAGAACTCTATCTGTCTCCACTATCAACTCCTACCTTGCTGGGCTCAGACAGGTACATCTTGCCCTTGGTCATGATGTACCTCATCTCAGATCTGATATGGTAACTCAAATCCTTATTGGGAAAAAGAATTTTGACGCTGTCAAACCTTCAACTAAACCTGTCAGAATACCGGTCACTCCCACTTTACTCAGAATACTTAAAAATGCAATTAATAAAGACGACCTTACCTTCTACGACAAACGTTTATTTTGGTTCCTGTGTGTAGTTGCTTTCCACAGTTCTTTCAGAATTGGTGAACTACTCACTCGGCATCCAAATCATTTTGATCCAAGCTATACTCTTCTTGGTCAGCACATATTTCCCAACTCTGCTATAATCAATGCGGTTTCATTGTCTTTTTTGGAGATTACCATCAGTTCCTCTAAGTGTTGCCCTACTACGCCTACTGTCATAGATGTATACCCTACCGGCAGCGATATTTGCCCAGTCAGGGCATATACCAGGTTAATTAACCTATGCAGACCCACACCTAACTTGCCTGCTTTCACACTTTTCTCAGGCAAAAACCTAACACCAGCTTTGTTTAATAAAAAACTCAGACACTGGTTGAAGGATTGCATCGATTTCAGCACCTGCTCGGTGTCAGGACACTCTTTTAGGGCTACTCTAACTCTGATATCAAATCAGTAGGCAGATGGTCCAGCAGAGCTTTCCTGCTGTACACTAAGCTTCTAAGAACAAAGCGTTTCGCCATGGCCCAAGCCCTCGGCAACCTCAATATTTAATTGCTTGTACATCTATGACTTCCTTTACAATTTTTAAAATCTTATTTGTTCAGACTTTACCTGCTAATTTAATTTTACTGTTACGACTTCATTCATTTAGAATTATTTTTACAGGCAATTCTAACGATGACTATGATGATGTTGGTATTGATGGGAATACAAATGAAGACGATGCTGGACCTTACTCTGACCAGCAATCAGAGACAGTCTGCCTATTCTGAGCACAACTCCGACAGTTCCGAACATATTCCTGACCAGATTGAACAGATGTCTGATGTTTACTCTAACACAGATCAACTACGGACAAATCTTATCTCTGAGATAGGTAAACTCAAATCCAACTTTATTTTTAATTATTTCATATTTGGTGAACTCCCTATACTTGATTACATTTATCTCCTGCTAATTTCACTAATTATTAATGTTCTGCTTCTACCCAAAATACTTATTTATCTATATACCGAACTTGCTTCCTCCTAGGTAGATTTGTCAGGCCACCTCTTGCCAGGAAGAGAAAGATTACTTCTAGTCGTGATAATACTCAGAACCAACTCTCCAATGCTACTTCTAAGCACGACCAGACTAACCGGTTAGTTAATTTCTAGCTCAATTCTGTGTCATCTTCGCTTACTCATCCAGTAGCACAAATAGAACTTTAATAAAAATACAACATATTAGGGGNTGGTATATAAAGCCTATCACAATTACTTACATCAGCAAAATCTTCAAGGTTTTTTATTCTACTGTATTCAATGCAAGCAAACGGAGTCGGCACTCTGGTAAATCTAAATCTAAAAAGAAGAAGAAGAAGAGTGGTACTGTAGCTCGTGACGAGGACCCTGGCAGCAGTTGGAACATCCTCTATAATTATTGGCCAGTGGAGAAGCGTCCCATTGCGCTACAGAACAAGTCCAAGTTCAACCAGATGCCTATGGACCAACTACTCCAACTTGCCAAGTTTGACAGGGACAACACCAAGGCTGTAGAATCTGACCTCACTTCCTCCTACACCAGGGATAAAAAGCCTCTGGCAATTAAATACCCAGAAGCCAAGGATGATGGATTCAAGAAGCTGCATCCTGGTTCCATGTTATTTGTTATCTTTGCCATTTTTACCCAGTAGCACAATTCTTAAAAATGAGAATAAATAATCTTCAAGGTTTTTTATTATACTATATTCAGTGCAAGCAAGCGGGGTCGGCACAACGGTAAATCTAAATCGAAAAAGAAGAAGAAGAACAGTAGTACTATTGCTCGTGTGTCTAGCTCCGCTAGTTCTTCGTCCGACGACTCCGACCAGTCCTCCGCTGACTCTGACGACGATGACGAGGACCCTGGCAGCAATTGGAACATCCTCTATAATTATTGGCCAGTGGAGAAGCGTCCCATTGCGCTGCAGAACAAATCCAAGTTCAACCAGATGCCAATGGACCAACTACTCCAACTTGCCAAGTTCGACAGGGACAACACCAAGGCTGTGGAATCTGACCTCACTTCCTCATACACCAGGGATAAAAAGCCTCTTGCAATTAAATACCCAGAAGCCAAGGATGATGGATTTAAGAAGCTGCATCCTGCCAGGTTCGAAAGATTTCCTTTAGCAGATATCAAGGACTGGTGGAAAAAAGTCCCACGTGTGCGCAGCCACCAGTATAAGAATTTACCTCTTCAATACAGTGGTACTCACAATAAGGTCACCCTCCGCACAATACAACAGATGCATGACCGGACCAAGGTGCTGTCGTTTAAACAGTTCCACTCAGGAAATATAAATGTCGGATCTAAACCTATTCAGAAGATTGAAAAACGGGACGAAGCCGGGATCACTTCTTCTCTGGATTTCAACTGGGAAGCGCCAACCAATCTATCCCAAGTTTCCGACGCCTTGCTCAACTACTGCACCATACTCCTTCACCTTTGGCCTCTTGATCAAACTGGCCTCATCATCCTCAGATTGGTAAACAAATATAACTATTTTCCCTGTGCTAATTCCCTTACTGAACGTGTAAACCTAGTGTCTACATTCTTCAACACCATACTAAGGGAGAATGCTGCTAGAGCCGGACGCAGAGCTGTACCTATGGACTTCAAAGAGCAAGAAGAGACTCTCAAGAATATCCTCACCTCCTCAGGTTTCAGTAGTGCTGTTCCTACGGGACGTATTAACCGGTCAGAGTCTGACAAATTTAGATCCGCTCCGATGCGTTCTACCATCCCTGTCTCTGGTAACCAAAACCATAACAAGTCTAAAGTTTTGATGATCGGCTCTACCCCTGTTTGTTTCAATTTTAATAGCGGCCATTGCAGGAACCTTGGCTCAGCTACAGGTTGCAAAGATCAAAGAGGTAGAGAATTTGCACACCTGTGCAATAAATGGCTTGATGCTAAGCAAGCTTACTGTCTAGGACGTCACTCCAGGGCTGCCTTTAGACACTGAGAACATTCTTCAGCTTATTGGTTTTTATAAATCTCTTTCTAATGATTACCAATGTTAATTTTTTCACTCGTTAAATCTCATTATGCTTGTTCGTTTATATTCGTTTCACATAAATAAATATATCTTTTATTCTTTCTTTAATAACTGTTAATAGATTAATGGTTCGTCAAATACATAGTTTCAAACTTATACTCTTAGCAGTTGTAACTATCTTTTTAAGCTTTCCAGTTACCCATAACGAAACGTCTGTCTATAATCTCATTTATGATTTTTAACTCCTTATTAACTTTTCGAATCTCTTAATCAACAAATAAGAAACAAAATTTTCTTATAGTAATTTTATTTTCTATTTTTGGTACATTACAGTCAGAGTAACTTTCTTTTCTTACTCAAACAACTGAATACTGGAATAATTTATATCCCAATTCATTGGAAATAAATGATCACTGTGCTATATATTCCTTTCTTATTGGACTATAATATCTCTTAAATGTACAGTATAATTTGAGTAATTTGCACTATGTTGGTTTTCCTTTATCATAAGACTTTATATCTTTACTTATAAACGTTGACGTCTACAAATTTAACATTAAATAATGATGTCAATATACTGAATATTAACTTTGGCACATTTTTTAGTATTTCATTGGAAATAAATGATCACTGTGCTATATATTCCTTTCTTATTGGACTATAATATCTCTAAAATGTACAGTATAATTTGAGTAATTTGCACTATGTTGGTTTTCCTTTATCATAAGACTTTATATCTTTACTTATAAACGTCGACGTCTACAAATTTAACATTAAATAATGATGTCAATATACTGAATATTAACTTTGGCACATTTTTTAGTATTTCTACTCGGTGTCTGTCCTTTTCCATAATTTATTAGTTGTTTTTCATACCAGAGGTCAATATAATTCATATGATAGTCATTTTTAAATTTATTTAATTCCAAAACACAATATCGATTTATAGTTGTCATGTTTTGTCGGTCACCCTGTATCAAACTAGCTAATTCAGACAAAATATATTCTACATTATTAACGTCCTTAGCGTACTTGAATTACCAGAGATATACTCAACAGTATCACAATCCTTAGTGTAACCTTTTTTAATTGTATCCAACATTTATGGTTCTTTTATGACATAATTCTTTCGCACTATGAAAATTACTATGACGACATTTATACTTACTAATAAGACGACATTCGTATTCGTGTTTACAATATACGAAGCAAATGCCGCAAATTACTTCTTCCAAATCTAAATAAACACACAAACCTTCTGCATAGGTTTTAGTGATAATCTATTAGACGTATTTATTATAATTTACGAGTTTTATTACTTTACCATACACTATTCACTTAATATTTTCCTGTTTATAGCGTATCATGCATTTTGTTTCTGTCTTAGCTAACAATATTAATATTTATATACGAAGCAAATGCCGCAAAATATTTTCTACCACTCCTAAATAAACATGCAAACCTTCTGCGTTGGTTTTAATGATAAATCTGCTAGACATATTTATTAAAATTTATTAATTTTATTACACTTTACCTTACACATTCACTTAATAATTTATCTGTTAAGAACGTATCATGCCTCTTGTCTCTATTTTAGCTAGCAATACTAATACTTTTAGAAATCAGTCTACAAACAATTTCTTTCCACTTAAATCTGCTTGAACTATTAAGACACGAGATGAAACTACCTATACCTGAGCTCCCTCCAATGAAAACATTCAAGCCAAAATACAACCTACCCATCTTACAATCCTATAAAACAAAGCCGTACAATTCGTACTGGGACAATTTTCCTACTAATTACAAGCCTTTATGCAAATCCTTAGTTAATCCCACCAAATTGAGAGCGCTAGCACTAGAAACTGGGTTCCAAGACAACTCCACTCTAAATAAGATTTGCATAGACCTTACAGGAGGCGCGGACATTGGTTGCAAAGGCTCTGCTAGGACCCCTTCTTTTTCTACCAATGCCCCTAGCGCCTACGAGTTTGCACCACATGTTTCAGATGCTATCGCTGATTGGCTGAGCAAAGGGTTTGCACACGGTCCTGTACCTATTGATGAGATACCAGCCACAGCAAAAATCAATGGCATTATGACAAAGCCGAAGCCTAACGGCTCAGTTAGAATCATCCTGAATCTAAGTTCGCCTTTGGGCAATTGTGTTAATGAAGGCATTGACAAAGATGAATTTCCAACAATAATGTCTTCCACCACAAAGTGGCTTAGAGCCTTACACCTAGCAGGTCGTAAAGCTAAAATGTGCAAGATTGACTGGGCTGACGCCTACAAACATATAGCTGTATGTGCCAAAGACACAGATCTGCAGTGGTTTACATGGCTAGGATTCGGATTCAAAGAATTATGCCTTATCTTCGGATGTGTCAGCAGTGCCGGAATCTTTGATAGACTAGCGAAGGTAGTTGTGCACATAGTAGCTACAAAATCAAATTTCCCTGTGTCCAGANACATGTGTACTGCACGTGTACCTTACTTACTCTCTACCTGTGTTCACCTTTCTCTCTTACACTCAGTCTACCTTCAACCTCCCAGAGTTATCCTACTACTTTCTGCTATTCTTCTCAGAACCCTCCATCCCTCCCTTACCACCTTTTTGGCCTTACCTTTCTTTCTTCACTAGACGCGGTTTAGAGGTTTCCTACTCCTACTTTTATCTCCCTACTCCCCTATCTATGCTATGCTATCATTATAGCTTAGATATTACCTCACCTCTATTCCGTACCAGCTACCTACTTATCTTACTTTTCAGGATATCATGCAAACCCCCCTTAGGTGGTGTCCTTAACCCTAATTCAGGTCTAGGTTATCGTCCACCTACCTCCTTCCTTTCTTCCTTCCCTCTTGGTCTCTTCTACTTACTACAGAGGCTTCTCCCAGGTAAGCGTGTTCAAACATTTTTAAGAAATAATTCCTTTTGTAAAAATATGGAAACAAAAAAATGATGTACTTAGAGAGGCCGTTTCCTTTTAACGAACTTATGAATGTGTTAAATGAAGACGACATTTTAACAAAAATGCAATAGTCCGCTAACTGAAGTGGAAAATGTAAAGTGTGTTGTCCTTGTCCTATGGCTAACTTGTTTTTTCCTTTTCTCTAATTTGATATCCTTGTCAAACTTTTATGTTAAGTAAAGAACAAATAAAACGGCCATTTTTTATAGATAAAGCATCTTAACACTAAATTAATTATTTCTTTTAATCATCAAAAATCCAAAAAAATTCTTCAACAAAAATTTTGCGTTGAATTTTCATAAGCCTTCAAATCTAAGAGGCAAGGTACTAATGCAAGGAAAGTTATTTCAGAGGTGTACGCATTTTTTGTACTGCAGTGTCTTGTCTTTGGGCGGAAAAGTAAACACAAGACGGATGTCACAGCATGACATGGAATCCATTTTCACAAAAATAATCTATGAAATATTCTGGTCTTAGGGAGCTATTATGTGAATTTTCATAATTATCAAAATTAAATGTTTTTATCCTCCTCGGATACTAGACGAACAGTGATGCATCTATTCTTGTTTACAAATTCCGCTCAGAGAGAACTGGTTTCAATATGTAGGCAGAGTATACGCGACCGCAATTAACTTTCCTTGCATTAGTACCTTGCTAAGAGGGACCTGTCATACGGAACGATGTAAGAAAATATAAAAAAAAGGTCAGAGAAGAAAATTGATAGGAAATAATTCAAAATAAGAACCCGAGTAGAATCTTAGAGTCGGGAACCTAGTCTTAGGCGCCGGGCCGACTTTCTCCGACCCTCTGTTTTTGGAAAAAAATATCAAATTTCACCAAATATATGTAATATGAGCAAAAACCATTAAAATATTTGAGCATTCCTCTCCCCATCCCTTTCTTCAAGCACCCCTCCATATGTCCCAACCCCAGTTTCTGCTGTTT